TCTCTGCTTTGTCTGAATATATAAACCCCTGTCTGCTCAGTGGAGTCAATCAAAGAGCAAACAGCAAAGATACAGAGAGGAGGAATCAGAGAGCATCCAAACTTCAGTCCCAGCACTCAAGACCAGCAAACACAGCATGAAATCTGTAAGTATTTTATTCATGAGTATTTATCCATTTATTTTCAATGCCACTGATGTTTTTTGTCTAATTTAAAAGTTTGATTTTGAATATTTTAGGTAAATACAGACTCTTTTTATGATTGCTGATAAAATTGTGTGAACAGTGTTTTCTGTGCTATCATAAGCTCAAGATAGATTTTGGAGATTTTTTCTCTAGTTCTCATTTCATCAACAATAAATAAGAATGTTTGATGATAAGGTTGATGGGTTTTCTAGTGTTTTGTAAATTATAGCACTGTAAGAGCCATCTTCAGTGGGGAAAAGATGTGAAAATGACCTTGGTGACAGAAATAATTAATAGAGCCCAATATTATTGTTTCTGTATAAATGGAAGCAGTTGTATTAAACAGCTGACTCCGTAAAGAACTGTAAGGCAAATTAATGAAATATTGAGAGATACAGGTTTATATTCTTTATTTTCAAAGCAGCACTTTAATAAGCAGTCCTGATATAAATCATACATTAAATCATACATAAGATGGTTGTGAGAATGAGTGTGTGTGTGTGTGTGTGTGTGTGTGGATGGGGGGGTCTCTGTTACATGGGGCTTGGAGGGTGGGTGGGTGGGTGGGGTTTTGCAGTTTGTATTTTAATTTGTATCCCCCGATCCCCTCTTTCTTGTGTGTACAGCACTGTGATACAGTTTATGTAAGAAAAGTGCTTTATAAATAAAGTGATTGGTTGATTGATCTGTGAAAATGATTCTGTTGTCATTACAGGGTTTAAACTGATCAGTTATTATTTCATTTTAACAGCAAAGAACGTCCAGCACAATGAAGATGAGGATCTTTGCTTTCTTTCTTCTCTTACTTGGTAAGTTCAAGAAAATAATTTCTAAATGAGTAGTGTACATTATCCTTTGTTTAATTTAAAGAAAAACCTGAATTGTAAGTGATAACGGGTCAATGCCATCTTTGTTCATCAGCCTCAGTAAACGGGCAAACAACCACCACAGCTTCCCCAACAGCAACAACAACAGCTGCACCAACAACAACCACCACAGCTGCCCCAACAACAACAACCACAACTGCCAAAACAACAACAACCGCTGCCCCAACAACAAGCACAGCTGCCCCAACAACAACAGCTGCCTCAACAACGACCACCACAGCTGCACCAACAACCACAGCTGTCCCAACAACAACAACCACCACAGCTGCACCAACAACAACCACAGCTGCCCCAACAACAACCACCACAGCTGCCCCAACAACAACCACCACAGCTGCCCCAACAACAACCACAGCAACAGCTGCCCCAACAACAACAACTACCACAGCTGCCCCAACAACAACCACCACAGCTGCCCTAACAACAACAACCACAACTGCCAAAACAACAACCACAGCAACAGCTGCCCCAACAACAACCACCACCACAGCTGCCCCAAAAACAACAACCACCACAGCTGCACCAACAACAACCACCACAGCTGCCCCAACAACAAAAAACACCACAGCTGCACCAACAACAACCACCGCAGCTTCCCCAACAACGACCACAACAGCTGCACCAACAACAACAACCACAGCTGCCCCAACAACAACCACCACAGCTTCCCCAACAACTACCACAACAGCTGCAACAACAACAACCACAACAGCTGCCCCAACAACAACCACCACAGCTGCATCAACAACAACCACCACAGCTGCCCCAACAACAAAAACCACCACAGCTGCACCAACAACAACCACCGCAGCTTCCCCAACAACAACCACAACAGCTGCACCAACAACAACAACCACAGCTGCCCCAACAACAACCACCACAGCTTCCCCAACAACTACCACCACAGCTGCCCCAACAACAACCACCACAGCTGCCCCAACAACAACCACCACAGCTGCCCCAACAACAACCACCACAGCTGCCCCAACAACAACAACCACCACAGCTGCTCCAACAACAACAACAGCTGCCTCAACAACAACAACCACAACAGCTGCCCCAACAACAACCACAACAACAGCTGCCCCAACAACAACCACCACCACAGCTGCACCAACAACAACCACCACAGCTTCCCCAACAACTACCACAACAGCTGCCCCAACAACACCAGCTGCCTCAACAACAACAACCACCACAGTTGCTCCACCAACAACACAAGCTGACCCAACAACAACCACAACAGCTGCCCCAACAACAACAACCACCACAGCTTCCCCAACAACAACAACAGCCACAGCTGCCCCAACAACAACAACAGCCACAGCTGCACCAACAACAACCACCACAGCTGCACCACCAACAACCACCACAGCTCCCCCAACAACAACCACCACAAGTGCTCCAACAACAACCATCACAGCTGCCTCAACAACAACAACCACCACAGCTGCCCCAACAACAACCACCACAGCTGCTCCAACAACAACACCAGCTGCCCCATCAACAACCACAACAGCTGCAACAACAACAACCACCACAGCTGCCCCAACAACAACCACCACAGCTGCCCCAACAACAACAACCACCACAGCTGCTCCAACAACAACCACCACAGCTGCCCCAACAACAACCACCACAGCTGCAGCAACAACTACCACAACAGCTGCCCAGACAACAAAAACCACCACAGCTGCACCAACAACAACCACCACAGCTGCCCCAACAACCACCACAACAGCTGCCCCAATAACAACAACCACAGCTGCCCCAACAACAACCACAACAGCTGCCCCAACAACAACAACCACCACAGCTGCCCCAACAACAACCACAACAACAGCTACTCCAACAACAACCACCACAGCTGCCCCAACAACAACCACCACAGCTGCCGTAACAACAACAACCACCACAGCTGCCCCAACAACAACAACAACCACCACAGTTGCCCCAACAACAACCACAGCTGCCCCAACAACAACAACAACAGCTGCCCCAACAACAACAACCACCACATCTGCCCCAACAACAACCACAACAACAGCTGCCCCAACAACAACCACCACAGCTGCCCCAACAACAACCATCACAGCTGCCCCAACAACAACCACAACAGCTGCCCCAACAACAACCACAACAGCTGCCCCAACACCAACAACCACCACAGCTGCCCCAACAACAACCACAACAACAGCTGCCCCAACAACAACCACAACATCTGCACCAACAACAACCACCACAGCTGCCCCAACAACAACCACCACAGCTGCCCCAACAACAACAACCACCACAGCTCCCCCAACAACAACAACCACCACAGCTGCAGCAACATCAACACCAGCTGCCTCAACAACAACCACTACAGCTGCCCCAACAACAACCAGCACAGCTGCCCCAACAACAACAACCACCACAGCTGCTCAAACAACAACCACCACAGCCGCCCCAACAACAACACCAGCTGCTTCAACGACAACAACCACCACAGCTGCCTCAACAGCAACCACAGCTGCTCCAACAACAACAACCACCACAGCTTCCCCAACAACAACCACAACAACAGCTGCCCCAACAACAACCACAACAACAGCTGCACCAACAACTACCACCACAGCTTCCCCAACAACAACCACCACAACTGCCCCAACAACAACAACCACCACAGCTCCCCCAACAACAACAACCACCACAGCTGCAGCAACATCAACACCAGCTGCCTCAACAACAACCACTACAGCTGCCCCAACAACAACCAGCACAGCTGCCCCAACAACAACAACCACCACAGCTGCTCAAACAACAACCACCACAGCCGCCCCAACAACAACACCAGCTGCTTCAACGACAACAACCACCACAGCTGCCTCAACAGCAACCACAGCTGCTCCAACAACAACAACCACCACAGCTTCCCCAACAACAACCACAACAACAGCTGCCCCAACAACAACCACAACAACAGCTGCACCAACAACTACCACCACAGCTTCCCCAACAACAACCACCACAACTGCCCCAACAACAACAACCACCACAGCTGCTCAAACAACAACCACCACAGCTGCCCCAACAACAACACCAGCTGCCTCAACAACAACCACTACAGCTGCCCCAACAACAACAAGCACAGCTGCCCCAACAACAACCACCACAGCTGCTCAAACAACAACCACCACAGCCGCCCCAACAACAACACCAGCTGCTTCAACGACAACAACCACCACAGCTGCCCCAACAACAACCACAACAACAGCTGCACCAACAACAACCACAACAGCTGCACCAACAACAACCACCACAGCTTCCCCAACAAAAACCACCACAGCTGCCCCAACAACAACAACCACCACAGCTGCCCCAACAACAACAACCACCACAGCTCCCCCAACAACAACAACCACCACAGCTGCAGCAACATCAACACCAGCTGCCTTAACAACAACCACTACAGCTGCCCCAACAACAACCAGCAAGGCTGCCCCAACAACAACAACCACCACAGCTGCTCAAACAACAGCCACCACAGCTGCCGTAACAACAACACCAGCTGCTTCAACAACAACAACCACCACAGCTGCCTCAACAGCAACCACAGCTGCTCCAACAACAACAACCACCACAGCTGCCCCAACAACAACAGCAACAACAGCTGCCCCAACAACAACCACAACAGCTGCCCCAACAACAACAACAACCACCACAGCTGCCCCAACAACAACCACAACAACAGCTGCACCAACAACTACCACCACAGCTTCCCCAACAACAACCACCACAACTGCTCCAACAACAACCACCACAGCTGCTCAAACAACAACCACCACAGCTGCCCCAACAACAACACCAGCAGCCTCAACAACAACCACTACAGCTGCCCCAACAACAACAAGCACAGCTGCCCCAACAGCAACAACCACCACAGCTGCTCAAACAACAACCACCACAGCCGCCCCAACAACAACACCAGCTGCTTCAACGACAACAACCACCACAGCTGCCTCAACAGCAACCACAGCTGCTCCAACAACAACAACCACCACAGCTGCCCCAACAACAACCACAACAACAGCTGCCCCAACAACAACCACCACAGCTGTCCCAACAACAACAACCACCACAGCTTCCCCGTCAACAACCACAACCACAGCAGCTGCCACAACAACAACCAGCACAGCTGTCCCAACAACAACAACCACTACAGCTGTCCCAACAACAACAACCACCACAGCTGTCCCAACAACAACCACCACCAAAGTTACCCCAACAACAACAACCATCACAGCTGCTCCGACATCAACCACAGCTGCCCCAGCAACAACAACAGCTGCCCCAAAAACCACCACAGCTGCCCCAAAAACAACCACAACAACAGCTGCCCCAACAACAACCACAACAGCTGCCCCAACAACAACCTCCACAGCTGTCCCAACAACAACCACCACAGCTGCCCCAACAACAACCACAACAGCTGCCCCAACAACAACCTCCACAGCTGTCCCAACAACAACCACCACAGCTGCCCCAACAACAACCACCACAGCTTCCCCAACAACAACCTCCACAGCTGTCCCAACAACAACCACCACAGCTGCCCCAACAACAACAACCGTCACAGCTGCCCCAATAACCACCACAGCTGCCACAACAACAACCACCACAGTTGCCCCAACAACCACCAAAGCTGACGCAACAACAACAACCACCACAGCTGCTCAAGCAACAACCACCACAGCTGCCCCACCAACAACTACCACAGCTGTTCAAACAACAACCACCACAGTTGCCCCAACAACAACCACCACAGTTGCCCAAACAACAACAACCACATCAGCGGCCCCAACAACAACAACAACCACAACAACAGCTGCCCCAACAACAACCACCACAGCTGTCCCAACAACAACATCCACCACAGCTGCCCCAACAACAACCACCACAGCTGCCCTAACAACAACCACCACAGCTGCCCCAACAACAACCACCACAGCTGCCCCAATAACCACCACAGCTGCCGTAACAACAACAACCACCACAGCTGCCCCAACAACAACAACAACCACCACAGCTGCCCCAACAACAACCACAGCTGCCCCAACAATAACCACCACAGCTGCCCCAACAACAACCACCACCGCTGCTCCAACAACAACCACCACAGCTGCCCCAACAACAACCACCACAGCTGCCCAAACAACAACAACAGCTGCCCCAACAACAACCCCCACCACAGCTGCCCCAACAACCACAACAGCTGCCCAAACAACAAAAACCACCACAGCTTTCCCAACAACAACCACCACAGCTGCCCCAACAACAACCACCACAGCTGACCAAACAACGACAACCACCACAGCTGCCCCAACAACAACCACCACAGCTGCCCAAACAACAACCACAACAACAGCTGCCCCAACATCAACCCCCACCACAGCTGCCCCAACAACAACCACAACAGCTGCCCAAACAACGACAACCACCACAGCTGCCCCAACAACAACAACCACCACAGCTGCCCCAACGACAACCACCACCACAGCTGCCCCAACAACAACCACCACAGCTGCCCCAACAACCACAACATCAGCTGCCCCAACAACAACAACCACCACAGCTGCTCCAACAACACCAGCTGCCCCAACAACCACCACAACAACAGCTGCTCAAACAACAACCACCACCACAGCTGCCCCAACAACAACCACCACCACAGCTGCCCCAACAACAACAACCACCACAGCTGCCCCAACAACAACCACCACAGTTGCCCCAACAACAACCACCACAGTTGCCCAAACAACAACAACCACCACAGCTGCCCCAACAACTACCACAACAACAGCTTCCCAAACAACAACAACCACAGCTGCTCCAACAACAACACCAGCTGCTGCAACAACATCAACCACCACAGCTGCCCCAACAACCACCACAGCTTCCCCAACAACAACCACAACAACAGCTGCCCCAACAACCACCACAGCTTCCCCAACAACAACCACAACAACAACCACCACAGCCGCAACAACAACAACCACAACAACAGCTGCCCAAACAACAACAACCACCACAGCTTCCCCAACAACAACCACCACAGCTGCCCCAACAACCACCACAACAACAGCTGCCCCAACAACAACCACCACCACAGCTGCCCCAACAACATCAACCACCACAGCTGCCCTAACAACAACAACCACCACAACAACAGGAGCCACAACTGCTGTCTCAGGCGCCACAACTAATGCCTCAGGTGCCACCAATGCTGCTTCAGGTGCAACAAATGCTGCCTCAAGTGCTACCAATGCCGCTTCAGGTGCAACAACTGCTGCCTCAGGTGCCACCAATGCTGCCTCAGGAGCAACAACTGCTGCCTCAGGTGCCACCAATGCCGCCACAGGGACAACAACTGCTGCCTCCTCAGCTGTTATCAACAAAACAAGTTTCCGCTTGGTCATCTTAATTTTCTCAGCAATTCTATTGATTTAAGAACAAACTGAAAAGGGAAATTTAACTTAACATACCAATAACATTTTTGAAAGTATTCTCTCACACAGACTTTTAATCTGAATATGATGTCACTTTCACTTGTATTTATTCAAAAACACAACAGTACTTTTATGATTACAGATTGCATGACATGCCATATTTAACTCCTCTGACCAACTTCTTATTTCAGCATTCTTTCTGACAAAGTTGCTTGGTGTTTGTCATAGAGATGGAATAAACACAATCCCCGATTGGACAATCACCTGCATCCTTTACATCAATGTTGAACTTTAACTCTGAACATTAGCAAACCTGCTCTTCTGACTGTCTCATGCTTCAATTCCACAAAGTTTTTCTGAATTTGGAAAAAGTGCTTTCAACTTTTTTTAATGCTTTTTGATGCTCCAAAAATGTGGAATCGTTTGCAACAAAGTCTCAAAACTGACACTTTGGTTTCTCTTGGAAAAATTCAAGATATTAATGAAATAACATTTTCCTGTCATGTGTAACCGTTTTAAAAGGGTTACTGTCATGTTTGTTTTTCCTGTTTAATGTGAATTCTGTATCTCAACGTCATTTTTAATGAGGGAAACCTCACTGATTTTCAAGACCTAAATAAAGGTTAACAATAATTATAATAACTTGCTCATTACTGGATTTATTATTAATCAATTAGTTTTTTTTTTTTTACATGTTTCTATCTGATTATTAATTCCTTATTGGTGGAGACATATAACCAGTGACTAAACACAGCTAAATGAGCCTTACACATTTATGGCAGCTCTTGCATCTTTTCTGTCTTCTGTTAAAAATCATCTTTCAAAGTGGAAATGAATTACTGGGTAAAAACATTAAGTGCCCAGGCTATATCAACAACCTTTTTAATCCCTTACACTCCAGTACGTACTCGGGCAACGGCTCTCAAACCACTCCAGACACTCGGCTGAAAACAAAAGGGGACAGAGCATTTTCAGACCGTGCTCCTAAGGTCTAGGATGACATGCCCAGGGATATAAGATTGGCTGACATAGTGCACTCATATCAGTCGCTTCTTAAAACTCACTTTTATTGAAGAGCCTTCCTGACTCTACGTCACCTAAAACGTCATGATTCTATGTCCAAATATGTAATTGGTTTTATGATCTGAGCAGGTTGATCCCTTTAGACAAATGTGTTAAATTTGCATTTTTCTGTTTGTTTTCTACCTTGTAAAGCCCTCTGTAAATAAGATTTTAAAAAGCACCCTGTAAAAAAAGATTATAATAATTATGACTATTATTGTTATTAATATGCAGAAGTCCCTAAATATGAGGCAATAAGAGGCTGTTTTAGTAACAATAATAATAACAATAATAGCATTTTTTTGTTGTCATTTACATAATAAAAAAAGACAAAAACTCAAATCTAATAATAAAAGGGATAACAATAGTTTTATCTGTATTATTCTTCTCAATACAAGTAACAAAGTCCTTTGCGACAACAATGGTGTTGTTTGATGGGCCACAGCTCTAATGGCAAGCTAAAGTTGTATATCATCAGCAAAAAATGAAAGTTGAGATTGTGGATTATATTACCAAGAGGTGACATGAAAATTGAAAATAGTGTTGAACTGAGACGGAACTATTGATTTACTACTAATATAATGCTAATAATACACTGTTTTTAAGGTACACTGTGCAATATTACGCTTAACTGTGAAATTTTTTGTTAAACTGTATAATATTCTGTGCAATATTCTACGTTACTAACTGGTTTTGTATACACCTCCTACTCTTCATGCTTGTTCATAGCCTATTTACTCTGCACTTTGTAAATAGCATTATTTCTAGTATTCTGCACTTTTTCCGAACTGTTACAATCTCTTTTTCATTCCTATTTCTATTCTCTGTCTATTAATATTTGTATTTTCAAGAGCAATTGAAATGCTGAAGTGAATGAATAAAGTATTTTGATTCTGATCATTTTGATGATTTGTACTAGTGCTGGGCGATATGGAAAAAAATGTATATCACGATATGGATCATTTTATATCACGATAACGATATATATCACGATATAGCTATGGTATGCTTTCAGTTCTATGAAAAATTTAAGTGTATACAGCTGCACTAGTACAGTACCAGTACAAGACCAGCACTTAAAACTAGAAAAATGAATAAATAAATACGTGGCCGAAGTGCGTTCATGTCTGTGCTCACCCAAAGTTATGCCACACTCACAGAAAACGCAGATAGTGTGAGCCAAAGCACTCCATAATAATAATAATAATAATAATAATAATAAATTTAATTTGTAATGCACTTTACATTTACAAAAAATCTCAAAGTGCTACAGTACACAGTAAAAAAAGAGCAGCAACAATAAAAAAGCAATAGAATGACAGTCACAGATTGGCATAAATAAAGAATAAAAAAAAAATAAAAAATATAGAGTTGCAATGTAAGAGGCAAGGTAGTAAAAGCATAAAGCATAGAGGAAAACTAACCAAAGGCTTTATTAAAAAGGTAGGTCTTTAGGGCTCTTTTGAAGAGGTTGTTCACACTGCTAGATGTTTCTCCTCCAAAGCTGCTCTCTGCCTCCATCATTATTTACTTTACTCTTGAAGCACGTAGCAAGACCCGAGCATGAATCCGAGCGCCTTATTCGCCTATCAGGGGCAGACAGGTAAGGTGATTTGATTCGCCACGACTCCAGAAATGATTGAAAAACTACAGAATGTCACAAAATTACGTTTCCTCGCTGCTGGCTTGAAGGGTAGAAATGCGCAGCCGCGCTCCCAGCTGACAGGAAGTCAAACCACTGTTGTAGTTCTTTTGTTTTGCTAGCGCGGTCAAGAGTGTTGGCTCTCACTGAGAGATGACTACAAAAATGGACGCACCTGTTCATCTGGTTGTTAAACACGGCTGAAAATGATCATCTTTTAATGTTGTTCCCGCTCCTGCCCACTTCCGTTGCCTTTTTTTCCCGTCCCGTCCCGATCAAGGGATTAATTAAAAAATGACTCCCATCCCGTGGGATTCCCGCGGGAATCACGTGACCCACGGGAATTCCCGAAAAATGTCATCCTCTACAGGGAACGTCCCGGAGCAGATGAAACAGGTGCCGGAGCGGCTGAAATAGGTCCCGGATCCGATCAAAAGAGGTCCCGGATCGCGCTCCGACTTGCTCCGGCACAAATTAAGCACTGCTTACAATGATCCCCTCACGTGTGTAACCCAGGTAACCCGCAACGGCGGGAGACGCTGGACACGAAGAGGGCACGTAAAACGGCGTCATGTCGCAAAATCGAAAGAGAAATGCAAGCCTACATGTCAACGCATCCTTTTCTTTTGTAAGAAAATATTGTTTTCTTTCCCGTTCGACACCAAATACACTTACTGAATGTGCAATTATTGTTGTTACTATGAATCATCTGATGGCACAAGCCCCATGGATAAAATACAGCCTATCGCCCGAAACGATAAAAATAAAAATGGCACGATAGACATTTTCTATCATGCCCACGATATCTATCGTCCTATCGCCCAGCACTAATTTGTACTGATTTAAAAGTTGTTCTTTTTATGAATTAAAAGGAAATTGTCCACCAGATTTAACAGGTTAGTAAAAGCATACTTCTGATCGACCGCCCTGTGGGAAAATTAAGGTTGAACATAACAATTTCTAAACAGTCGAGTTAGGGCATTAGTGTTTACTTGACATTTACATTGTATTAATATTTACACTTGCTGTATGGCTGCTCCTTATTCCCACTCTTGGTTAGTGTGTTTGCACATTTACTCCCCTGATCATTATAACTGTACATTCTTAAGAGAGTCCTTTCACTCATCAACAAATAGATAAGCTGTAAATGCATTTTAATTTACATCTTAAACTAGATTAATATAAAAATTTGTTTCATATCTAAGAAACCGTAAATTGAGGCAATGGTTTGTTATAGTTTTATACTGTACTTAGATTACATGGCTTTTTAGACTGAACTGTGTAGTTTTATTCTCCTTTGACCAATTACTTTCATAACCTAACCTGCTGCTGTAACTCTATCTATCTATCTATCTATCTATCTATCTATCTATCTATCTATCTATCTATCTATCGTTGTGATGCAATGAAGCATATTTCTCCTTGGGGACAAAGTCTAATGTAAGACTTAATGCTCTCAAATCTGCAAAAAGGACAAATGCATAATTGGAGAAAGTGTCAGAGAGTAGATAATACTTTCATCCTGATTTAATTCTATTATTCTAAAACTCCCCTTTTTCAAAACAGGTTAATCTTGTTTCATGATCAACCCCTTTGTGTCTCTTGGTTTACTAAGAGCCAGATTAGTCACACTGGAATCTCTGGTGTGTTCCTCTATAGTTCACATGCTCAAATCAAAACATCAGCAGGAAACACGACAGAAGAGAATCAATGCTGAAGAGGGTTGTACAATAAGAACACATAAATAAACATGATAGTCAAGTAACGCAACGACACTCCCACCAAAAATATTCAATTTATTGTTGTGACTGACGTTCAGCACTACTGAACAAGATTCTTCCTAGGTGACCATGTGAGCCAATAAAAAAAATTAATGAATGTAAAAGACGGCCACACCTTAAACGAAAGAAAACAACATTAGTCATACATGTAATTTACGTCTTTGTTCACAGTCTGATGTCATGTTCTCTGCTTTGTGTGAATATATAAACCCGTCTGCTCAGTGGAGTCAATCAAAGAGCAAACAGCAAAGATACAGAGAGGAGGAATCAGAGAGCATCCAAACTTCAGTCCCAGCACTCAAGACCAGCAAACACAGCATGAAATCTGTAAGTATTTTATTCATGAGTATTTATCCATTTATTTTCAATGCCACTGATGTTTTTTGTCTAATTTAAAAGTTTGATTTTGAATATTTTAGGTAAATACAGACTCTTTTTATGATTGCTGATAAAATTGTGTGAACAGTGTTTTCTGTGCTATCATAAGCTCAAGATAGATTTTGGAGATTTTTTCTCTAGTTCTCATTTCATCAACAATAAATAAGAATGTTTGATGATAAGGTTGATGGGTTTTCTAGTGTTTTGTAAATTATAGCACTGTAAGAGCCATCTTCAGTGGGGAAAAGATGTGAAAATGACCTTGGTGACAGAAATAATTAATAGAGCCCAATATTATTGTTTCTGTATAAATGGAAGCAGTTGTATTAAACAGCTGACTCCGTAAAGAACTGTAAGGCAAATTAATGAAATATTGAGAGATACAGGTTTATATTCTTTATTTTCAAAGCAGCACTTTAATAAGCAGTCCTGATATAAATCATACATTAAATCATACATAAGATGGTTGTGAGAATGAGTGTGTGTGTGTGTGTGTGTGTGTGTGGATGGGGGGGTCTCTGTTACATGGGGATTGGAGGGTGGGTGGGTGGGTGGGGTTTTGCAGTTTGTATTTTAATTTGTATCCCCCGATCCCCTCTTTCTTGTGTGTACAGCACTGTGATACAGTTTATGTAAGAAAAGTGCTTTATAAATAAAGTGATTGGTTGATTGATCTGTGAAAATGATTCTGTTGTCATTACAGGGTTTAAACTGATCAGTTATTATTTCATTTTAACAGCAAAGAACGTCCAGCACAATGAAGATGAGGATCTTTGCTTTCTTTCTTCTCTTACTTTGTAAGTTCAAGAAAATAATTTCTAAATGAGTAGTGTACATTATCCTTTGTTTAATTTAAAGAAAAACCTGAATTGTAAGTGATAACGGGTCAATGCCATCTTTGTTCATCAGCCTCAGTAAACGGGCAAACAACCACCACAGCTTCCCCAACAACAACAACAACAGCTGCACCAACAACAACCACCACAGCTGCCCCAACAACAACAACCACAACTGCCAAAACAACAACAACCGCTGCCCCAACAACAAGCACAGCTGCCCCAACAACAACAGCTGCCTCAACAACGACCACCACAGCTGCACCAACAACCACAGCTGTCCCAACAACAACAACCACCACAGCTGCACCAACAACAACCACAGCTGCCCCAACAACAACCACCACAGCTGCCCCAACAACAACCACCACAGCTGCCCCAAAAACAACCACAGCAACAGCTGCCCCAACAACAACAACTACCACAGCTGCCCCAACAACAACCACCACAGCTGCCCTAACAACAACCACCACAGCTGCCCCAACAACAACCACAGCAACAGCTGCCCCAACAACAACCACCACCACAGCTGCCCCAAAAACAACAACCACCACAGCTGCACCAACAACAACCACCACAGCTGCCCCAACAACAAAAACCACCACAGCTTCCCCAACAACTACCACAACAGCTGCAACAACAACAACCACAACAGCTGCCCCAACAACAACCACCACAGCTGCATCAACAACAACCACCACAGCTGCCCCAACAACAAAAACCACCACAGCTGCACCAACAACAACCACCGCAGCTTCCCCAACAACAACCACAACAGCTGCACCAACAACAACCACAGCTGCCCCAACAACAACCACCACAGCTTCCCCAACAACTACCACCACAGCTGCCCCAACAACAACCACCACAGCTGCCCCAACAACAACCACCACAGCTGCCCCAACAACAACAACCACCACAGCTGCTCCAACAACAACAACAGCTGCCTCAACAACAACAACCACAACAGCTGCCCCAACAACAACCACAACAACAGCTGCCCCAACAACAACCACCACCACAGCTGCACCAACAACAACCACCACAGCTTCCCCAACAACTACCACAACAGCTGCCCCAACAACACCAGCTGCCTCAACAACAACAACCACCACAGTTGCTCCACCAACAACACCAGCTGACCCAACAACAACCACAACAGCTGCCCCAACAACAACAACCACCACAGCTTCCCCAACAACAACAACAGCCACAGCTGCCCCAACAACAACAACAACCACAGCTGCCCTAACAACAACCACAACAGCTGCCCCAACAACAACAACCACCACAGCTGCCCCAACAACAACCGAAACAACAGCTGCTCCAACAACAACCACCACAGCTGCCCCAACAACAACCACCACAGCTGCCGTAACAACAACAACCACCACAGCTGCCCCAACAACAACAACCACCACAGTTTCCCCAACAACAACCACAGCTGCCCCAACAACAACCACAACAGCTGCCCCAACAACAACAACCACCACATCTGCCCCAACAACAACCAAAACAACAGCTGCCCCAACAACAACCACAACAGCTGCCCCAACAACAACCTCCACAGCTGTCCCAACAACAACCACCACAGCTGCCCCAACAACAACCACAACAGCTGCCCCAACAACAACCTCCACAGCTGTCCCAACAACAACCACCACAGCTGCCCCAACAACAACCACCACAGCTTCCCCAACAACAACCTCCACAGCTGTCCCAACAACAACCACCACAGCTGCCCCAACAACAACAACCCCCACAGCTGCCCCAATAACCACCACAGCTGCCACAACAACAACCACCACAGTTGCCACAACAACCACCACAGCTGCTCAAGCAACAACCACCACAGCTGCCCCACCAACAACTACCACAGCTGTTCAAACAACAACCACCACAGCTGCCCCAACAACAACACCAGCTGCCTCAACAACAACAACCACCACAGCGGCCCCAACAACAACAACAACCACAACAACAGCTTCCCCAACAACAACCACCACAGCTGTCCCAACAACAACATCCACCACAGCTGCCCCAACAACAACCACCACAGCTGCCCTAACAACAACCACCACAGCTGCCCCAACAACAACCACCACAGCTGCCCCAATAACAACCACCACAGCTGCCCCAACAACAACAACAACCACCACAGCTGCCCCAACAACAACCACAGCTGCCCCAACAATAACCACCACAGCTGCCCCAACAACAACAACCACAGCTGCTCAAACAACAACCACAACAGCTGCCCCAACAAAAACCACAACAACAGCTGCCCCAACAACAACCACAACAACAGCTGCCCCAACAACCACCACCGCTGCTCCAACAACAACCACCACAGCTGCCCCAACAACAACCACCACAGCTGCCCAAACAACAACAACAGCTGCCCCAACAACAACCCCCACCACAGCTGCCCCAACAACCACAACAGCTGCCCAAACAACAAAAACCACCACAGCTTTCCCAACAACAACCACCACAGCTGCCCCAACAACAACAACCACCACAGCTGACCAAACAACGACAACCACCACAGCTGCCCCAACAACAACCACCACAGCTGCCAAAACAACAACCACAACAACAGCTGCCCCAACAACAACCCCCACCACAGCTGCCCCAACAACAACCACAACAGCTGCCCAAACAACGACAACCACCACAGCTGCCCCAACAACAACAACCACCACAGCTGCCCCAACGACAACCACCACCACAGCTGCCCCAACAACAACCACCACAGCTGCCCCAACAACCACAACATCAGCTGCCCCAACAACAACAACCACCACAGCTGCTCCAACAACACCAGCTGCCCCAACAACCACCACAACAACAGCTGCTCAAACAACAACCACCACCACAGCTGCCCCAACAACAACCACCACCACAGCTGCCCCAACAACAACAACCACCACAGCTGCCCCAACAACAACCACCACAGTTGCCCCAACAACAACCACCACAGTTGCCCAAACAACAACAACCACCACAGCTGCCCCAACAACTACCACAACAACAGCTTCCCAAACAACAACAACCACAGCTGCTCCAACAACAACACCAGCTGCTGCAACAACATCAACCACCACAGCTGCCCCAACAACCACCACAGCTTCCCCAACAACAACCACAACAACAGCTGCCCCAACAACCACCACAGCTTCCCCAACAACAACCACAACAACAACCACCACAGCCGCAACAACAACCACAACAACAGCTGCCCAAACAACAACAACCACCACAGCTTCCCCAACAACAACAACCACAGCTGCCCCAACAACAACAGCTGCCCCAACAACCACCACAGCTGCCCCAACAACCACCACAACAACAGCTGCCCCAACAACAACCACCACCACAGCTGCCCCAACAACATCAACCACCACAGCTGCCCTAACAACAACAACCACCACAACAACAGGAGCCACAACTGCTGTCTCAGGCGCCACAACTAATGCCTCAGGTGCCACCAATGCTGCTTCAGGTGCAACAAATGCTGCCTCAAGTGCTACCAATGCCGCTTCAGGTGCAACAACTGCTGCCTCAGGTGCCACCAATGCTGCCTCAGGAGCAACAACTGCTGCCTCAGGTGCCACCAATGCCGCCACAGGGACAACAACTGCTGCCTCCTCAGCTGTTATCAACAAAACAAGTTTCCGCTTGGTCATCTTAATTTTCTCAGCAATTCTATTGATTTAAGAACAAACTGAAAAGGGAAATTTAACTTAACATACCAATAACATTTTTGAAAGTATTCTCTCACACAGACTTTTAATCTGAATATGATGTCACTTTCACTTGTATTTATTCAAAAACACAACAGTACTTTTATGATTACAGATTGCATGACATGCCATATTTAACTCCTCTGACCAACTTCTTATTTCAGCATTCTTTCTGACAAAGTTGCTTGGTGTTTGTCATAGAGATGGAATAAACACTTGTTTTTTTTTAATATACGAATCCCTGATTGGACAATCACCTGCATCCTTTACATCAATGTTGAACTTTAACTCTGAACATTAGCAAACCTGCTCTTCTGACTGTCTCATGCTTCAATTCCACAAAGTTTTTCTGAATTTGGAAAAAGTGCTTTCAACTTTTTTTAATGCTTTTTGATGCTCCAAAAATGTGGAATCGTTTGCAACAAAGTCTCAAAACTGACACTTTGGTTTCTCTTGGAAAAATTCAAGATATTAATGAAATAACATTTTCCTGTCATGTGTAACCGTTTTAAAAGGGTTACTGTCATGTTTGTTTTTCCTGTTTAATGTGAATTCTGTATCTCAACGTCATTTTTAATGAGGGAAACCTCACTGATTTTCAAGACCTAAATAAAGGTTAACAATAATTATAATAACTTGCTCATTACTGGATTTATTATTAATCAATTAGTTTTTTTTTTTTTACATGTTTCTATCTGATTATTAATTCCTTATTGGTGGAGACATATAACCAGTGACTAAACACAGCTAAATGAGCCTTACACATTTATGGCAGCTCTTGCATCTTTTCTGTCTTCTGTTAAAAATCATCTTTCAAAGTGGAAATGAATTACTGGGTAAAAACATTAAGTGCCCAGGCTATATCAACAACCTTTTTAATCCCTTACACTCCAGTACGTACTCGGGCAACGGCTCTCAAACCACTCCAGACACTCGGCTGAAAACAAAAGGGGACAGAGCATTTTCAGACCGTGCTCCTAAGGTCTAGGATGACATGCCCAGGGATATAAGATTGGCTGACATAGTGCACTCATATCAGTCGCTTCTTAAAACTCACTTTTATTGAAGAGCCTTCCTGACTCTACGTCACCTAAAACGTCATGATTCTATGTCCAAATATGTAATTGGTTTTATGATCTGAGCAGGTTGATCCCTTTAGACAAATGTGTTAAATTTGCATTTTTCTGTTTGTTTTCTACCTTGTAAAGCCCTCTGTAAATAAGATTTTAAAAAGCACCCTGTAAAAAAAGATTATAATAATTATGACTATTATTGTTATTAATATGCAGAAGTCCCTAAATATGAGGCAATAAGAGGCTGTTTTAGTAACAATAATAATAACAATAATAGCATTTTTTTGTTGTCATTTACATAATAAAAAAAGACAAAAACTCAAATCTAATAATAAAAGGGATAACAATAGTTTTATCTGTATTATTCTTCTCAATACAAGTAACAAAGTCCTTTGCGACAACAATGGTGTTGTTTGATGGGCCACAGCTCTAATGGCAAGCTTAAGTTGTATATCATCAGCAAAAAATGAAAGTTGAGATTGTGGATTATATTACCAAGAGGTGACATGAAAATTGAAAATAGTGTTGAACTGAGACGGAACTATTGATTTACTACTAATATAATGCTAATAATACACTGTTTTTAAGGTACACTGTGCAATATTACGCTTAACTGTGAAATTTTTTGTTAAACTGTATAATACTCTGTGCAATATTCTACGTTACTAACTGGTTTTGTATACACCTCCTACTCTTCATGCTTGTTCATAGCCTATTTACTCTGCACTTTGTAAATAGCATTATTTCTAGTATTCTGCACTTTTTCCGAACTGTTACAATCTCTTTTTCATTCCTATTTCTATTCTCTGTCTATTAATATTTGTATTTTCAAGAGCAATTGAAATGCTGAAGTGAATGAATAAAGTATTTTGATTCTGATCATTTTGATGATTTGTACTAGTGCTGGGCGATATGGAAAAAAATGTATATCACGATATGGATCATTTTATATCACGATAACGATATATATCACGATATAGCTATGGTATGCTTTCAGTTCTATGAAAAATTTAAGTGTATACAGCTGCACTAGTACAGTACCAGTACAAGACCAGCACTTAAAACTAGAAAAATGAATAAATAAATACGTGGCCGAAGTGCGTTCATGTCTGTGCTCACCCAAAGTTATGCCACACTCACAGAAAACGCAGATAGTGTGAGCCAAAGCACTCCATAATAATAATAATAATAATAATAATAATAAATTTAATTTGTAATGCACTTTACATTTACAAAAAATCTCAAAGTGCTACAGTACACAGTAAAAAAAGAGCAGCAACAATAAAAAAGCAATAGAATGACAGTCACAGATTGGCATAAATAAAGAATAAAAAAAAATAAAAAATATAGAGTTGCAATGTAAGAGGCAAGGTAGTAAAAGCATAAAGCATAGAGGAAAACTAACCAAAGGCTTTATTAAAAAGGTAGGTCTTTAGGGCTCTTTTGAAGAGGTTGTTCACACTGCTAGATGTTTCTCCTCCAAAGCTGCTCTCTGCCTCCATCATTATTTACTTTACTCTTGAAGCACGTAGCAAGACCCGAGCATGAATCCGAGCGCCTTATTCGCCTATCAGGGGCAGACAGGTAAGGTGATTTGATTCGCCACGACTCCAGAAATGATTGAAAAACTACAGAATGTCACAAAATTACGTTTCCTCGCTGCTGGCTTGAAGGGTAGAAATGCGCAGCCGTGCTCCCAGCTGACAGGAAGTCAAACCACTGTTGTAGTTCTTTTGTTTTGCTAGCGCGGTCAAGAGTGTTGGCTCTCACTGAGAGATGACTACAAAAATGGATGCACCTGTTCATCTGGTTGTTAAACACGGCTGAAAATGATCATCTTTTAATGTTGTTCCCGCTCCTGCCCACTTCCGTTGCCTTTTTTTCTCGTCCCGTCCCGATCAAGGGATTAATTAAAAAATGACTCCCATCCCGTGGGATTCCCGCGGGAATCACGTGACCCACGGGAATTCCCGAAAAATGTCATCCTCTACAGGGAACGTCCCGGAGCAGATGAAACAGGTGCCGGAGCGGCTGAAATAGGTCCCGGATCCGATCAAAAGAGGTCCCGGATCGCGCTCCGACTTGCTCCGGCACAAATTAAGCACTGCTTACAATGATCCCCTCACGTGTGTAACCCAGGTAACCCGCAACGGCGGGAGACGCTGGACACGAAGAGGGCACGTAAAACGGCGTCATGTCGCAAAATCGAAAGAGAAATGCAAGCCTACATGTCAACGCATCCTTTTCTTTTGTAAGAAAATATTGTTTTCTTTCCCGTTCGACACCAAATACACTTACTGAATGTGCAATTATTGTTGTTACTATGAATCATCTGATGGCACAAGCCCCATGGATAAAATACAGCCTATCGCCCGAAACGATAAAAATAAAAATGGCACGATAGACATTTTCTATCATGCCCACGATATCTATCGTCCTATCGCCCAGCACTAATTTGTACTGATTTAAAAGTTGTTCTTTTTATGAATTAAAAGGAAATTGTCCACCAGATTTAACAGGTTAGTAAAAGCATACTTCTGATCGACCGCCCTGTGGGAAAATTAAGGTTGAACATAACAATTTCTAAACAGTCGAGTTAGGGCATTAGTGTTTACTTGACATTTACATTGTATTAATATTTACACTTGCTGTATGGCTGCTCCTTATTCCCACTCTTGGTTAGTGTGTTTGCACATTTACTCCCCTGATCATTATAACTGTACATTCTTAAGAGAGTCCTTTCACTCATCAACAAATAGATAAGCTGTAAATGCATTTTAATTTACATCTTAAACTAGATTAATATAAAAATTTGTTTCATATCTAAGAAACCGTAAATTGAGGCAATGGTTTGTTATAGTTTTATACTGTACTTAGATTACATGGCTTTTTAGACTGAACTGTGTAGTTTTATTCTCCTTTGACCAATTACTTTCATAACCTAACCTGCTGCTGTAACTCTATCTATCTATCTATCTATCTATCTATCTATCTATCTATCTATCTATCTATCTATCTATCGTTGTGATGCAATGAAGCATATTTCTCCTTGGGGACAAAGTCTAATGTAAGACTTAATGCTCTCAAATCTGCAAAAAGGACAAATGCATAATTGGAGAAAGTGTCAGAGAGTAGATAATACTTTCATCCTGATTTAATTCTATTATTCTAAAACTCCCCTTTTTCAAAACAGGTTAATCTTGTTTCATGATCAACCCCTTTGTGTCTCTTGGTTTACTAAGAGCCAGATTAGTCACACTGGAATCTCTGGTGTGTTCCTCTATAGTTCACATGCTCAAATCAAAACATCAGCAGGAAACACGACAGAAGAGAATCAATGCTGAAGAGGGTTGTACAATAAGAACACATAAATAAACATGATAGTCAAGTAACGCAACGACACTCCCACCAAAAATATTCAATTTATTGTTGTGACTGACGTTCAGCACTACTGAACAAGATTCTTCCTAGGTGACCATGTGAGCCAATAAAAAAAATTAATGAATGTAAAAGACGGCCACACCTTAAACGAAAGAAAACAACATTATTCATACATGTAATTTACGTCTTTGTTCACAGTCTGATGTCATGTTCTCTGCTTTGTGTGAATATATAAACCCGTCTGCTCAGTGGAGTCAATCAAAGAGCAAACAGCAAAGATACAGAGAGGAGGAATCAGAGAGCATCCAAACTTCAGTCCCACCACTCAAGACCAGCAAACACAGCATGAAATCTGTGAGTATTTTATTCATGAGTATTTATCAATTTATATTCAATGCCACTGATGTTTTTTGTCTAATTTAAAAGTTTGATTTTGAATATTTTAGGTAAATACAGACTCTTTTTATGATTGCTGACAAAATTGTGTGAACAGTGTTTTCTGTGCTGTCATAGGCTCAAGATACATTTTGGAGATTTTTTTCTCTAGTTCTGATTTCATCAAAAATAAATCAGAGTTTCTTAAGGGTGGGGGGGTTTCAAGTGTTTTGTAAATTATAGCATTGTAAGAGCAATTTTCTGTGGGGAAAAAGATGTAAACATGACCTTAATGACAGAAATAATTCATAGAGCCCAACATTATTGTTTCTGTATAAATGGAAGCTGTTGTATTAAACAGCTGACACCGTAAAGAACTGTAAGGCAAATTAATGAAAAAGTGAGAGATACAGGTTAATATTCTTTATTTTCAAAGCAGCACTTTATTAAGCAGTCCTGTTAAAATCATACATCTGTGGAAATGATTCTGTTGTCATTTAAGTGCTCAAAGTGATCAGTTATTATTTCATTTTAACAGCAAAGAATATCCAGCACCATGAAGATGAGGCTCTTTGCTTTCTTACTTCTCTTAATTGGTAAGTTCAGGAAAATATTTACTGAGAGAAAGTAAAGTCTATTTACCTTTTTTTATTTGGGAGAGAAAAATCCTACGGTGTAAATGGTAACTCATCAATGACATCTTTGTTCATCAGCCTCACCACTGCCGCCTCAGGAGCAACAACTGCTGCCTCAGGTGCCACCACTGCTGCCTCAGGTGCCACCACTGCCGCCTCAGGAGTAACAACTGCTGCCTCAGGTGCCACCACTGCTGGCTCAGGTGCCACCACTGCCGCCTCAGGAGCAACAACTGCTGCCTCAGGAGCCACCACTGCTGGCTCAGGTGCCACCACTGCCGCCTCAGGAGCAACAACTGCTGCCTCTGGTGCCACCACTGCTGCCCTAGGAGCAACAACTGCTGCCTCTGGTGCCACCACTGCTGCCTCAGGTGCCACCACTGCTGGCTCAGGTGCCACCACTGCCGCCTCAGGAGTAACAACTGCTGCCTCAGGTGCCACCACTGCCGCCTCCGGAGCAACAACTGCCGCCTCCGGTGCCACCACTGCCGCCTCAGGAGCAACAACTGCTGCTTCAGCTGCAACAACTGCTGGCTCAGGTGCCACCACTGCCGCCTCAGGTGCCACCACTGCTGGCTCAGGTGCCACCACTGCCGCCTCAGGAGCAACAACTGCTGCCTCTGGTGCCACCACTGCCACCTCAGGTGCCACCACTGCCGCCTCAGGAGCAACAACTGCTGGCTCAGGTGCCACCACTGCTGCCTCAGGAGCAACAACTGCTGCTTCAGGTGCAACAACTGCTGGCTCAGGTGCCACCACTGCCGCCTCAGGAGCAACAACTGCTGCCTCAGGTGCCACCACTGCCGCCTCAGGAGCAACAACTGCTGCAACAACTGCTGGCTCAGGAGCAACAACTGCCGCCTCAGCTGCAACAACTGCCGGCTCAGGTGCCACCACTGCCGCCTCAGGAGCAACAACTGCTGGCTCAGGTGCCACCACTGCCGCCTCAGGAGCAACAACTGCTGCTTCAGGTGCAACAACTGCTAGCTCAGGTGCCACCACTGCCGCCTCAGGAGCAACAACTGCCGCCTCAGGTGCCACCACTGCTGGCTCAGGAGCAACAACTGCTGCCTCCGCTGCCACCACTGCCGCATCAGGAGCAACAACTGCCGCCCCTGGTGCCACCACTGCTGCCTCAGGTGCCACCACTGCCGCCTCAGGAGCAACAACTGCCGCCTCAGGTGCCACCACTGCTGGCTCAGGTGCCACCACTGCCGCCTCAGGAGCAACAACTGCCGCCTCAGGTGCCACCACTGCTGGCTCAGGTGCCACCACTGCCGCCTCAGGAGCAACAACTGCCGCCTCAGGTGCCACCACTGCTGGCTCAGGTGCCACCACTGCCGCCTCAGGAGCAACAACTGCTGCCTCCGATGCCACCACTGCTGCCTCAGGTGCCACCACTGCCGCCTCAGGAGCAACAACTGCTGTCTCAGGTGCCACCACTGCTGCCTCAGGAGCAACAACTGCTGCCTCAGGTGCCACCACTGCCGCCTCAGGAGCAACAACTGCTGCCTCAGGTGCCACCAATGCCGCCTCAGGAGCAACAATTGCTGCCTCAGGTGCCACCACTGCTGCCTCAGGATCAACAACTGCTGCCTCAGGTGCCACCAATGCTGCCTCAGGAGCAACAACTGCTGCCTCAGGTGCCACCAATGCCGCCTCAGGAGCAACAACTGTTGCCTCAGGTGCCACCAATGCTGCCTCAGGTGCCACCACTGCTGGCTCAGGTGCCACCACTGCCGCCTCAGGAGCAACAACTGCTGCCTCCGATGCCACCACTGCTGCCTCAGGTGCCACCACTGCCGCCTCAGGAGCAACAACTGCTGTCTCAGGTGCCACCACTGCTGCCTCAGGAGCAACAACTGCTGCCTCAGGTGCCACCACTGCCGCCTCAGGAGCAACAACTGCTGCCTCAGGTGCCACCAATGCCGCCTCAGGAGCAACAATTGCTGCCTCAGGTGCCACCACTGCTGCCTCAGGATCAACAACTGCTGCCTCAGGTGCCACCACTGCTGCCTCAGGAGTCACAACTGCTGCATCCTCAGCTGTCATCAACAAAAGTTTTCTCTTAGTTATCTTAACTTGCTCAGCAATTCTGTTGATGTAAGAACAAACTGAAAAGGGAATTTTAAACCAAACATTATGATAACATTCTCGAAAGTATTGTCTCACAGACTTTTAGTCATAATATAAAATTACTCTCACTTTTATTTGTTAAAAAACACAACAGTACTTGTATGATTACAGATTGTATGATATGTTATATGTATATATATATATGTCTTTTAACACTTGATCAATTACTGATTTTATCTACCTATTTATTATTTATGTACTTGCATAACAATATTTTTTTTCTGTTTGTCTTGTTTATGTGTATCAAAGAACAAATGTTAAAAGTGAAAAGGAAGTAACCAGATTATACTTTGTTTTGATATACTCATGTTTATGTTTAATAAAAACGTTGTTCTTTAAAGTTTTTGGAGTTTATCTGTGTGTTAAATCTTTGTAGAGTGCACATTCAGTAAACATCAGCCAGATAATTAGAGTTATCAATCGCTGGCAAAATTTAGTACATAAAAAAACCCTCAAAAATATTAAACAATATGGATTATTTAAAGCAGGGGTCTTCATATAAATTTTCAATGGGTCCACCGGGATGAAATGCCTGCAGGCCTGGGTCCGGGAACCTTTATTTTTTTTGTACAGTGCATTACTCTTTTGAAATATTCACTTCATTTGTATTGTCAATAACTGCCTATTTTCAATTAAAATAAAGTGAAGTACCTTTTTTAAAGTCAACAATATTTATTGAAAGCATAAAAGTTACATTTTACATTTTGTTTTTAAATAACATGAAGACTACAGATATTCAAAGACCTGCATTAGAAACAAAATGGCTTTTTAGGCAGGCACATCTGAAATTAAAGTGCATTTAAAAAAAGTAGCATGAAATTCACTGAAACAAAGTAACTAAACTAGTTAAACTTTTAACTCAATACATTTTGCCACTGAAAATCTTCACAAACCATCCGGTCCGTCATTGTTTTCTATTTATCTCCCTCCTGATTACTCTTTTTTTATCACTCAGAAAGAGGAGCTCGTGAGAAGCGGGCTCCATCTTTTCCAGCCAACTTTTTGAATCTGGGCTCGAAAGATGTCAGGGCCATCCTCAAACACATGTGGAGATGATCATTAGTGAGCCTGTTGCGATATTTGTCTTTGACGATGTTCATGGTCGAAAAAGCTGCTTCGCAGCTGTAGGTGGAACCAAACATGGTCAGAGTGTACAGAGCTATTTTACTCAGACCTGTGAAGCCTTTTCCAGGGACCATCTCCATCCAGAAGGTGGCAGATTCACTTCCTCCAAATTGCTCCTTCAGTGCCACGTCTGCCTGAAGATCAACCAGTTCCATCTGTAGAGGACCAGCTTCAGCCCATTTGAAGAGCTGTGTGACCTCCTTTGAGAACCCCCTGACATCAGTGATAAGGAAGGGATCCTGGATAAACAGGGTGAGCTGCTGTCCAAGAGTGAAGCTGTCAAATCGTTGGCTGAAGTTTTCAGTCAGCCGATCAACAAAGTCCACAAAAGCAGACAAATCTCTCTGCCCCTGCACCTGCTGCTGTACTGAAGGGAAGTGAGCACACTCTCCTTGCAGGTCTTCTCTGAACACCTCCAGTTTCCATCTTGAAGGCACTTACAGCCATCATTAGGTCACAGATGGAATTGTCCTTGCCCTGTAGCTTCAGATTCAGTTTATTCAGGTGAGATGTAATGTCAACTAAAAAAGCTACAATATCCATTTTCTCATCATCTTCTAAGAAGCAAGAAAAACGAGTTGCCTTGTTGCTCCTCAGCTGGGATAAGAAAGCTCCAATCTCCTCCCGGATGGCCCAAAAGCGCTCCAGCACTCTACCTTTGCTGAGCCATCTTACATTGTTGTGGAGGAGAAGGTCATCAGCTTCTGCATCCACTTCATGGAGGTATTCTCTGAGGAGACGATGCTGGAGGGATGAGGATTCCCGCAGAAAGTTTATCATTTTCATCATCACGTCCATCACCTCAAGATGAAAAAGAAGAGATGGAGAGTCATATTTATTTGGACACATATTTATTTGTGACCAGTAACAATGTAGCTTACAATGTAATATTGGCTACTGGTGTCTTTATTATAAAATTACATTAGCAATACAATTAACACACACACATACACAGACAGACACACATGCACACACACACACACACACACACACACACACACACACACACACACACACACACACACACACACACACACACACACACTCAAATATTACCCCACACACATACACACACAGGACACAGACACAGGCAAACAGACAAACAGACACACACACGCTCAAGAATTACCACACACACATACACACACAAGACACAGACAGACAGACAGACAGAACACACACACACAGGACACAGACACACACACCCACACTCAAATATTACCCCCCACACATACACACACACACACACAGACAGACAGACACAAGAAGGAACATACAGATACTGAAAAAGTGGAAATGTAGGCCTACCTCCTTGTACTCATCACTCAGGAGGGCACACAGCACAGTCTGGTGGATGATGCAGTGATATGAGATGAGTTCACCGTGGTCCTCCTTCATCCTTGCCACAGCTCCTCTCTCTCGTCCTACCATGGATGGGGCTCCGTCTGTGGTTATGGACACCACTAGTTTCATGTCTGTTCCCCTCTCCGTCAGCATCTCTTTGACTGCCTTGTATATATCTTCACCTTTTGTGCTGGTCTTGAGGGGGGCCACACCTAACAGGTCCTCACAGAACACTTTCTTCTCTTTGTTGAAAAACCTAACATAAACTAATAGTTGTGCATTATCAGTCACGTCTGTCGACTCATCCACAGCTAAACCTACAGGTACGCCCCTGACCGCTTCATCCAGCTGTTGGAGCACATCCTCAGTTAAAACCTCACATCTCCTCGTGGCTGTTGTTGCTGATGTGGGGATTTCTGCCACTTTTTTACACAGTTCTTCTTGTTGTTTGCCGTCAGTCAATGTTTTAACTATTTCCAGGGCACACTTCTTGACAACCGCACAGTCAGCGAATGGTTTCTTGTTTTGGCCCAAAACCCAGGCAACACGGAGGGAACATTCAAGTGCTCGCTGCTGACCGGTAAATGCATTGGTCATGATCCTTTGGGATCGATCATACCGGGCTCTTAACTCGAGTAAATGCTGGCTCCTGAGAGCAGATTTCAGAGGGTAATCTCTCTCGAAACTAGTCCGATGTTTGTCGTAGTGTCGTTTAATGTTAGAACTTTTCACAACGGCTACGTGCTGGTGGCATAAAAGACACACAGGCTGTGTGCTTCTCGCGGGTAAAGTAAATGCATATAACTCGGTCCACTCGTCATGAAACACCCTGTTCTCATTCTCTACCTTACGTGGTTTTGAAGCCGACATGTTCAGCTGCTGCTCCAACTTTCTCCTCAGTCTGCCGCCTTACAGTTTTCAACATCGGGATTGCTCGGGTATCTTCGTGTGTCGATCAGGCTAAGAGGTCTGATTTGATTGGCCTGTCAAGCGAGTAAGCAAATTATGTAATGCCTTGCCGAAATTCCATGTGCAGTTTTCTGAACCAGGCACAAAGCAAGAGAGAAAAAAAACGTAAATTTTTTTGCTGTACGCTCGGGTCCGTATTGGACTCTTTCCCGGTCCGGAAGTGGCCCGCGGTCCGCCATATGGAGACCACCGATTTAAAGAATGGATACTGGCAACACAATAGCTAGCAAAGCTGGAGTTTTATCTTTGAAATACTCAATTATACCTTTTACAACTTTTTTCTATCACAAATACTTGTTCAATACTATTAGCCAGCGGTGGCTGGTGAAGTTTCCAAACAGGGGCTGTAACAAAATCTAAAATAGACTAATTCTACACAAGATGCAACAAAAGATATTACAGCTGTGTACTAAATGTGAACTTAAGGCACCTATATGCATTTGCAAGTTGAATAAACATTATTCACATGGAACCTTGTTTGTTTGTTCTTTTATTTTTTTCTTGGAGGAAAGTTTTGAAAAAGTCTCATCCCTCTGTTTGATTTTAATGTAGAGCCGATTAGGCCCAGACATTTACCTCTCGGCCTGCACATACATCCTCTCACACAGCACTATTTTCAGTGACACAAGTGATTCTTTTTTAAACGTCCTGTTAATTAAGTTTATGTGAATCCTGCCTCCTTTAAATGGTGACTGAATCACTAACTGCAACATAAAAGTTATCCAGATCCTTGAAATTGTAACTTCTGCTTCATTTTTTGCTTAAGTAGCTAACACTTTTTAGATTATATACCTACACCTGAGCTGGTGTTAGTTTGTTCAGTGAAAGCAATATAGGAAGTTTGGCTTTAACAGCATATGGAGTCCTGCACTGTGCTGCTTCTGTAAAATACTGAAGTCTTGCACTTTCACTCTACAATTCACATGATTATAAGTGCCTCATGTACGCGCACACACACTTTACAAAGGCACGCCCGGACGTGCACACACATCACCGAGGCACATATTGACAATGATGCTACAAACCCAGCAACAATCACTGCAGGTGTATCACAGTTCAGGCTGCGCAATCATGGACTTGAAATCAGAAAATTTTTCACTGACCTGACCTGGGTGGACTGAGCTTCTCTCGATTTCCATCCTGGTACCCAAGGGTCGATGTTGTGTTTCAATCCAGGATCTCAAGAATGGTCCTGGTTCAAAAGTTTCCACAATGGGTCCATTTAGGTCCACCAAGAGAAGTGAAGGCAGGCTCTCATCTTGTAACCTGTTGATGGGCCTAGCTGTAGGGGAGAGTGGGGTAAGATAAGTCATTTTTCATATATCGGATCACAACATCAAGGCAATCAAAGTTTTGTCTCTAACTAGTGTATCTGCACATATTCCAAGATGTTGTTCATCCCTGCAAACCGACAGAATGAGTGTAAACAGAACTGTCTTGATAATTTAGCATGCCAAAAAAAGTGGTCTCCTACTGTCAACTTACCCCGTGTATGGGGTCCTCTGTGAAGTGTCCTTGAGTGTCCAGAAACGCTCTCATAAATAAAATGTATTTATTATTATTAAGTGATTCAGAACATTCACAGCTGTATTCTTGAAAAGAAAAACTAACACATTACAACAATCTAAACTGAAACGCTCATCCTCTCATCAGACTGCTTTAGGGGAGACCAGGGCTTGTTGTCACACTTTTTACACTCATATATTTCTTGAAATCAATCCATCATATATAAACAAAATGTGTACCAGATGAAAGACCAAAGTCTCAGGTATATATTTTGTATTCATGTCATTTTCATATCTTGTGTCAGTGCAGAGTTATAATCAATTAAATATAGAGTGTGAACATGTGACATGTTGCCCCACCATCAGGTAAGCTGTCTCACTACATGGGCTAAGATGTCACAGTGAATTTTAGAGCTAATAAAACAAGGACAAAATTATTGTTGTTATCGTTTTTTTTTTTTACTTGAAAGTGAACATTAAAGTCAGACACAGAAAATGTTTATCATTGAGTTAAAGAAAAAGTCATTGAACAAACGTTAACATCAAATATTATCAACATGCTCTGGAGTTTGGAGATCTGTCTGACTCTGTATTTCGGCTGGGGTGAATGTTTTACAGTACTGAGCCAAAGTATGGTAGATGACATTTAAGTCCTTTATTGTCCTCCAGATTGATTTTTAGCGAAGATCACCTGTCTGACTGCCCTCAGCATCACGTCAGGAACTGCACTGACCTGTTCTGTTTTTCTTTTGTAATTCCTGACCATGTCTTCTCTCTTTCTCCTCTCCTTTAAATCACTCTGTTCTCTGTGAAATGAAAGTCAAAATTTCAATAGTACAACTGCTGATAAACAGACTCTCTATGTTAATTTTAATTCCTTCTAAACATGTGATAACTAACCCCAAAATGACTGAGACATGTTGGCCCAAACTACCATGTCTGCTAATTCCTGCTCTAGATTAAAGTTAGTTTAAAACAGAACAGTGACTGAAGTATGAAAGGATGAATTAATCTTTCCTCTAACAAGTCCACATGTATCACTGCTAGGATTTTTATCTTGAAGAAGCTGATTTAAAAATATATGAAGTTTTTTTTTTTTTTACTTAGGGTTGTGTGAAATGGTTAATTGGCGCTCATCTCAGCTCACAATGTTCTCTTCTCAGACAGGACACGACCCCTGACCATGTATAGGATGAAAACTAGTATTCCACTTTTTAGTTGCGCCCTCTGGTGGCAAAGATAGTTGCAATGTGACAAAACGAGCCCGGTCTCCCCTACTTTCTTTGTTGAACCACTGGCTCAACTTACCCCTGAACTACTATAATGACTTTATAAGTCGTCTGAGCTAAAATGGTGGCCTTTTATGCTAGGTTTTTGACCTCATGTTGTAGCTCATAGATACCACAGTTGATGTAGAAAACTAATTTAAAATGATCTTTTTTGGTCTGAACACAATTCTAATCAAACTTATGACAGACTAAATTCACTTTCAAGAGTAAAAAATGTGTTTTTTGTAAATAAATGTCTAACCTCTTCACCTATGTGCTTCTAACATTCACAGACTCCATGAATTGATGCCCATCTCCTAAATATTGGGTCACATGATCAATTTCTTTGACCATTTCCAGGCAACAGGGGGTGGCTCAACTTACCCTACTGTCCCCTACTGGATGTATGGGTCTTATTTTTACAGGCTTTGAGCATCAGAACCAGAAACTTAGCTACTAATCCATCGCTCCGCGAAGTTTATACCGGTTTAAAGGAGTAGAAAGCTTTTTGTTTCCGGTCACCCACCTGCTTCTCCGTCTGAGCAGTCTGCAGGCTGACAGAGATGAGGAGGACTCACAGTCGACCTGAGCAGAGTCTGGGAACCTCATCCTGGCGGAGACGGACCTCCATCAGTCCGGCGGAGAAGCTGACATCTACCCTCTGAATCAACAGCTCCTCCTGACATGTAGCTACAGAGTCCACAGAGTGTAAACAACGGTAAAATAGCTGCTGCTCTCCGGATTAATTTGGTGTAGTTGGCGGCTATCTGACCAAAAGTCGCGCTTAATGAGTCCTTCAAAATTTCTGAAACGGTAATAATACAAAAAATAAAAAAGAAATTGGTGACAGGACTTGATACTGCAAACAGTCACTGACTGGTCACCTCCTTCCGGTCCAGGGCGCAATTTTCGCGCCCTTTAACTGCTGCTATAATTTACATTGGGAGGAGGGAATACGCATGTGCAACTTTATAACGGGATTTTTTTTTTTTTTTTTTTGTTGGACGGTAAAGGCATCTATCTATATAGATAGATAGATAGATAGATAGATAGATAGATAGATAGATAGATAGATAGATAGATAGTCCACGCATGGCGGCCATCTTGCTATGGGCAGTTCATAACATGTCAGTCTACGGTGCATGTAGCAATTAAAAAAACATAGATTGATAATTTTAAACCTATTTTCGAACGGTTTGGTTTGTAACAAACCTCAGAGTTTTAGTTATGTTCCTGCACACTCAAGAATAATTTTAAACATGGATTTTAATAAATAAACATTAAGCAGATAGGTAGAGTAATAGCTATAGGCCTACACACACAAGGCAGTTATATTAAATCATTTATATATAAAATATTTAATCATTCCATGTATGTTATATTAGTAATATTTCAATTATAGGGATGACTATAATAACATATAGCAAAAACATACATAAATATTTATTTTTTATATAAATTTCTGCCTCATGTTGCCATTTTAGATGTTTTTAACAAACCAAACAGTTTGGAGATCATGAGCAATTTAAGTTATGTTAAAACACAAGAGCATTTCTGCTTCTTTAACTGATGTAAAATTACTGGGTCAACTTTGTAATATGTACTTGGTCTCACTCACAGTGAGTCTGTCAGCCAAGTAAGACAGCTGATAAACTAAAGCACATCCACAAAAACTGTCACTTCGACGAAAAGTATAGGCTGTCATACAAGAAATGAAAATCTCGATTGTGGTCTCAACTCGACAACTTGCGCAAAGCTATTCAAAAGTTAGCCCTTGCGTGCAAATAGCTATGAAAGCATCTTCAACCTCTTCACCCCCACCCTCTGGAACGCCCTCCCTAAAACCATCCGTGAATGCCCGGACCTCATCAGCTTCAAATCTGCCCTCAAAACCCACCTTTTCAGACTCGCTTTTATTACCTGACCCCCCTGACTCACCATTATCCCACCTCTCACATCTGCCCCTCCCACCTGTATTCTTTTATTCTTTTTATTTGATTTTACCTTGTTTTTAGCTTGTTATTATTAGTCTTTGCCTCACTGCATTTTTGTTATGTTTTTGTAAAGTGTCTTTGAGCTCCTGTAAAAGCGCTATACAAATAAAATGTATTATTATTATTATTATCATTATTATTATTATATTATCTCATGAATATATTTTTAACATTATCATCAATATAAAATACGTGTTTCTGTGCAATGTCGTCCCAGGTATGCGCGCGCAGCCTTGGGGCAGAAAGCATTTCTTATTTGTTTACTAGCGGAGTCAACGGAGAAAGAAAATGACAAGGAGCTGTTGTGCTGTAAACAGCACAAATCAGCAAAACAAACAATTACAACCCTGCTCCTGATATTAGAAACATCTAAAACAACGTCACAATCTGGTAAATTGAGTGAAATTCATGGATAATGAAATGACATTTTATTGCAATTGAGTCAGGGAGAACTTGCAAACAATAAGGCATCTTCATTGATATTAGTTCACTCCGAAGCAGGCTTTTGCCCCATGGTTTCGCGTGCACCTAGTAATGTTTGTAGACGAGAAACCCATCTATTATAATAACAATAATACAATGGAGTGTTAGGGCCACATTAAAAAAAAAATTAAGACTTCCTGATTACTTACGAGAATAAAGTCGTAATAAAATCATTACTTACAAGCAAACAAAATAATGCCATTATCCACACCCGTCGACAACACAAAGACTTTAGGATGTTACCAGTAATTTCACAAAACTCACCCTGAAAATATTTAAGTCAATGTCATGACTGACGTACATCACTGAACCAGATTCTTCCTCAGTGAACATGTGAGCTAATTAAAGAAGTCGCAGTTGTTAAAGATGGCCACACCTAATACAAAGGACAAAATTAGTCATACATGTTATTTACGTCTTTGTTCACAGTCTGATGTCATGTTTTTTGCTTTGTGTGAATATATAAACCCCTGTCTGCTCAGTAGAGTCGATCAAAGAGGGAACAGCAAAGTCACGAAGAGGTGGAATCAGAGAGCATCCAAACTTCAGTCCCAGCACTCAAGACCAGCAAACACAGCATGAGCTCTGTGAGTACTTTATTCATATGTATTTGTCCATTTATATTCAATGCCACTGATGTGTCTTGTCTAATTTAAAAGTTTGATTTTAAATATTTTAGGTAAATATAGACCCTTTTTCATTTTTGCTGCTAAAATTGTGTGAACAGTGTTTTCTTTGCTGTCATGAACTCAAGATTTTGGAGATGTTTCCTCAACATTTCATCAACATCAACAAAAAGTCAGAGTGTTGTAAGATAAATGTGAAGGAGTTTCAAGTGTTATGTGAACTTTAGCATTGTAAAAACCATTTTCTGTGGGGAAAAAGATGTAAACATGACCTCAATGACAGAAATAATTCATAGACCAACATTATTGTTTCTGTATAAATGGAAGCAGTTGTATTAAACAGCTGACTCCGTAAAGAACTGCAAGGCAAATTAATGAAATATTAAGAGATACAGGTTAATATTCTTTATTTTCAAAGCAACACTTTATTAAGCAGTCCTGTTAAAATCATACATCTGTGAAAATGATTCTGTTGTCATTTAAGTGCTCAAAGTGATCAGTTATTATTTCATTTTAACAGCAAAGAACATCCAGCACCATGAAGATGAGGATCTTTGCCTTCTTTCTTCTCTTACTTGGTAAGTTCAGGAAAATATCTACTAAAAGAAAGTAATTTATTTACCTTTTTTAATTTATAAAGAAAAATCCTAAAGTGTAAATGATAACTGATCAATGCCATCTTTGTTCATCAGCCTCAGTCAACGGGCAATCTACAACCACAGCTGCTCCAACAACCACAGCTGCCCCAACAACCACAGCTGCTCCAACAACCACAGCTGCCCCAACAACAACAGTTGCCCCAACAACCACAGCTGCTCCAACAACAACAGTTGCCCCAACAACAACAGTTGCCCCAACAACCACAGCTGCTCCAACAACCACAGCTGCCCCAGCAACAACAGTTGCCCCAACAACCACAGCTGCTCCAACAACCGCAGTTGCCCCAGCAACCACAGCTGCCCCAACAACCACAGCAGCTCCAACAACCACAGCTGCCCCAACAACCACAGCTGCCCCAACAACCACAGCTGCTCCAACAACCACAGCTGCTCCAGCAACCACAGCTGCCCCAACAACCACAGTTGCCCCAGCAACCACAGCTGCCCCAACAACCACAGCTGCTCCAACAACCACAGCTGCCCCAGCAACCACAGCTGCTCCAACAACCACAGTTGCCCCAGCAAGTGTTGCTCCAGGTTCCACTAATGCAGCCACAAGTGTTGCTCCAGGTGCCACCAATGCAGCCACAAGTGTTGCTCCAGGTGCCACCAATGCAGCCACTAGTGTTGCTCCAGGTGCCACCAATGCAGCCACAAGTGTTGCTCCAGGTTCCACCAATGCTGCCACAACCGTAGCTCCAGGTGCCACAACCGTAGCTCCAGGTGCCACAACTGTTGCGTCAGGAGCAACAACAACTTTTACCACAAGTGTCCTTTTATTCATTGCAGCTTTTCCTGCAGTTCTTTTGAATTAAAAAAATGACAGAAAACCAAAATAGTTTTACTTCAGTTTCCCAATGCTTTTTTTTTTACAGAGACTAAAGGATGTCAGGATTTTAATTTCCTATTTATTTTGTTAGCAACTTGGGCTTGAACTTAAGATTGAAGAGGATGTCACCATTTTTAATGTGTTTGAAAAACACAACAGTGCTTTTGTGAAAGTGGATGGTATTTTGTGCTGACAACATAATCACTCTATTTATTTCTTTTTTATGTATTTGTTAAATCACTGAATCTGTATTTATTTTTTCATTCAGCCCCTACCAGTGATTACTCATAGAGCTTCATTAGCCTCATACAGGAAGTCGTCGTAGCAGCTCTCCTGCTCATGTAATCACGCTCGCTTTCCAGCTGTAATGATTGTCCCCTTTGTCTTTTTCATGTGCATTACATGATTCCTATTAAAAACTCAACACAAGAAACCACTCTTTGTTTTGATGTGTTCTTGTTTTGGTTGACTTTGAGTTCAGAATTTCTCAGGGATTCAGTGGGATCAAACTTATTTTAGAGTCTTTTTAAACCACTAAACCGTAGCTGTTTGTGGTCACAATAACTTTTATGTCTTCACTCTCAACAAAAAGATGTCATATTTTGAATTGCCCTGAGGGAACCTTCCCAAAAGGATCAATAAAGTTAGATCTAATCTAATCTAATCTAATCTAATCTAGTCTAATCTAATCTAACTAAACTAAACTAAACTAAACTAAGCTAAACGCAATCTAATCTAATCTAATTTAATCTAATCTAATCTAATCTAATCTAATCTAATCTAATCTGTGGGCCTGAGGTGGTCAGGGGCCCCTCATATGAGAGTTAAATTGAGCTGACTTGTTTTGCATGGTAAGCATAGATGCTGTTGCAGATTCAGACCTCTGCCCTGTGAAACTGCACTCCTGCAGCTTGTGACACAGATTTCTCTCATAAAATTTAGAGTTTTGACTTTGTGTATTGTTTTATTTGCAAATTCGCCACGACGTATTGACTCAAAAATGTCACATCCAATGTCCCATCTATGACAGTGTCACACAGCAGGTTTCTGTGTTGTGTAAAATGATGGCAAAATACAAAAAGTGCTTGATCGAGACTTTATGTGGTGAGCCACACCTCACCTGCCTTTGAAAGAGATATTTAGATATCTGTGACTGATGTTGTCTCACTCGCTTTGTGATGATACAAAACCTGCTGTACTGTCACTTCATCTCAGCACTGCAAACAGGTCAGGACTGCAGGTGGAATCGAAGAGCATCTCCGTCTCAAACGCTGCAGAGGACGCCATCTAAGCTGAGGGGAAATTAGTAAGTGTTTCAGACATCTCATATCTGTACTGGGTGCATTCTGCTGAAATTACAAATGTGTGCTATATTTTGCGTATTATCCAGTGTTAAAGATTTATCTTGTAGATTTAGAAATACTGTATACCGTCAGTCCTTTTACATCTGTTAAAGTTCAATATTCTCAACTAAAGTTAGATTCAAAATTAATGATGTTGACGTGGACAGTATATGTGAAAAAAAAATCTGTCTGTGACCATGGATCATAGGTTTAGTTGGAAGCCAATAAGAATTAAATTTGACACTTTTATTATGGTTCAGACTCAGATATAAATCAAATACTATGAACCATGTGTGTACTTTAGTTAAACTTGAAACTGCACAGGAAATATAAAGTGCCCAAAACTTTACTTTCAGGCTGCCCAAAAGAGCAGGGATGTGATATGTGGTGCAGTCCCGGCCTCAAAGTTTATTTGCTTTTATTATTGGTGTAAGAATAAGAATAGGTTTTAGTTTGTAAATAACTTATTTGTCTTTTCTTGAGTCTGGGTCTCAATGTCAGTACCTTCATTTCTGAGTCCAGTATTCCCCTCTGGTGCTCTAGTGTATTATGCCTCTGCTTTAACCTAGTTCAGTTGGTATTTCCTGAGCCACTTCGTAGTAAAATGGTTGAGCTAAATGAGAGGAACAAGAAAACTAATTTCATTGGGGTCAAAAATAAAAAAGTGCTCTAATACATATTTTAAAATGTAAAATGAGAACCTTTTATTTGATTTAGCATGTGAAAAAAAATTTAGCCAAACAATATGATGTATAAAGAAATAGCAACCTGCAGTAATTTGGTGTTAACCAATGAGAATGATTTACTTTGTTCCAGAAAAGAGTGAAGCATGTCCAAAGAGAAGACAAAGATCTGTGCTATCCTTCTTTTTTTGGTTGGTGAGTTAAGATAAGTTCCTTGGAAAATATATTGAATATATAAAAAATGAGGTTAAAACTCTTAGATGTGGTATTCATTCATCATTACATATTACACAGCCACAGGCAATGGATGGTTTCCTACCAAAACTGTCCAAGCAACAGCAGTCGTGCCAATAACAGCTTCCAAGGTGACAATTAAAACACAATCAGCATCAACTACTGCTGTACAAACAGACGACAAAACCACAGAAGCTGCTTCTACAACAGGAGCTGTCCTCACAAAAACCACAGCCAAGAAGACTGCAGCGACATCGAAATCAACCACATCTGTCTTCACCATGACCAAGACGGAGGGAATAACAACCTCAGATCCAACCACAGCAACCCCAAGGACAACTGTGGTTCCAACAACAAATGCAGCTGTCCCAACAAAATCTTCTACCCCGACGGCATCCACAGAAAAACTGGCATCCACAGTTGCCCGTACAAAAACAACAGCTGAAACAACAACCACATCTATCCCTACAATTGCTACTTCTGCTGCAGTATTTACAGCTGAAACACCATCAACAGAACCCAAAACTACCACAGCTACCCACAAAAACACTGCTCAAACAAAATCCACAACAACAGTCTACCCAACAACAACCACAGCTGAAAAGACAACCCCAATCTGTGGTCTTGTTACCACAGCAACTCATGCAACAAAACCAGTTCTTACAAGAAGCTATTCTGTTCCAAAATCAACCACCACATTAGCAACTACAACAGCTAAAACTACAACCACAGCTTCCACAACAACTACAACTACAAGAGCAGATGCAGCTCCACAAACAACGACAACTGTGCCTACAACAACTAAAGTTGCCATGACAAAAACCATAACTTCACCAAAAACAGCTCCACCTGCTTACACAACAGCCACAGTCACCATAACAACTTCCGTAACAGCGTCAACCTCAGCTGCCATGACAGGGACAGCTGCAAGAACAAAACCTGCTACAGTGGTCACAACAACAGCAACAAAAACTACTACAGTCTCTACATTAACAACAAAACCTGCAAAAACAACATCTTTACTTGCCAGAAGGACTGCAGCCGCAAACCGAACAAACAGCCAAAGCACTTCTGCAGAAACAGCAGCTGCTGAAAAAACAACAGCTAGCCAAACAACTACTGCCCCTCCAGCCACAACTAACAAAGTTGCAACAACCACAGATTCCCCAAGGACAACCACAGGTGGTGCTACAACAACTCCTGTAACAACAACAAACAATGCTGTGACAGCCATCACTGATATCACAACAACAACAACCAAAAGTCCTGTCTCAACAACTACCACAGCTGAAACAACCCCCAAACTCCCAACAACCACAGGTCCTGCATCTACAACTTCTGCCCCTGCATCAACAACGAGCAATGCTGTAACAACCACCACTGATACACAAACATCCAAAACAAGTTTTTCAACAATGGGAACTACTGCAACAAGAACTACTAAAGCCGCAAAGACCACAGATACCCGAACAACCACCAGTCCTGCAATTCCAACAACCCCTTTGGCAACAACTTCCAACACCGCAAGAACCACAGATTACCAAAAGACTGCCACAAGTCCTGCAATGCTAACAACCTTTGAAGCAACACCTACCAAAGCTGCAATAAACACAGATATCCCAACAACATCTAATAATGCTACAAAAACCCCACCAGCAATAACTAACAAAACAGCAAAAACCATAGACTCCCCGAAGACCACAAGTCCTGAAACAACCACTGCAGCAGCAACTTTAACAGATGCATCAGCCAAAGCTACACCCAAAATAACCACAATTGTTGCAAAAATGACAACCACTGTAGCAACACCTACCAAAGCTGCGAAAACCAAAGATTCCAAAACAACCACGAACCCTGCTACAACAGCTCCTATTGCAGCAACACCCACAGATGCCCCAACAACAACCATGAGTTCTGCCACAACTACTTCCCTTGTCTCAACAACTACCAGAGTGGCAACTGCCACACATACCCCAACAAAAGCTACAAATGAAACAACCACCGCCTCCCCAAAAACTATTACAAGTCCGGACACAATGGTAACCTCTGAAGCAACACCTACCACAGATGCAGCAACCAAAAACTCCAGAGCAACATCTAGTCTTGCAACTACATCTGCTAACGCTAGAGCAACATCTACCTCGGGTGATTCAATCATGGATATCTCAACAACAAGTTCATTCTCTGTAGCATCCCCTAAATCAACAACAATTTCTGCACGTACATCAACAGCTGCCTCTACAACACTAGATGCTGCAGAGACAACCACAGCTGCCCAAACTAAAACTAAAACTACCTCTACTATAACAGCTGTCCAAAAAACAGCACCTGCAAAATCGACACCCCCAGCAGCTGCAACAACAACTACAAGTGCCCTGACAACAAACATGAATGCTGCATCCACAACCTCAACAACACCAACGAAAACCATAGCTTTAACAACAATGACCCTTAATGCAAAAGCAACCTCTTTAGCTTCCCTTACAACAACCCAACCATCTGAACTTACATCAGTACCTGTCCAAATAACAACAGCAGATTTTGCAGCAACATCTGCAGCTGCTCTAAGTAAGGTTACAGCTTCAAAAAATACAGCTATTACTGACTCTAAAACAACCACAGTCCAAAAAACAGCAGCTGGCCTGACCTTGGGATCTGTGGAAACTACTAGTCCTGTAATCAAAACCACTGCTGCTCCTACTATAACCATGGTCACCCAAACAACCGATGCTGCAAAGACAATAAAAACAATTCCACCTGGAATACAGACAAGTTTAGCTGCTGCAACAAGAACCACAGCTGCTCAAACAAACATAAATGTTGCAACAACAATTTTTGCTCAACTATCAACAACCACAGGTGCTGCAACAACAATCAAGACGTCTGTAAATACAGCCTCTGCTACAACTGTTGCAAATAAGAGAACAACTACAGACACTTCACCAGCAACCATGAGTGCCAAAACAACAACTTTAAATGCTGCAGCAACCACAGTGACCCCAAAGGCAAACAACTGTGCTGCAACAATAACAACTGCAACTGAAGCAATAACAGCAACCCCAAATGCCAGATTAATATCCACAACATCTCCTATATCAACAACACTCATATCACCAACTGCCAAGACAACAAGTAATGTAGCAGCAATAATCATAGCTGCTCAAACTACAACTACACCTGACCTGACAACATCTGCTTCCCAGGCTACAACCAAAGATAACCCTACAACAAGTGTTGCACTAATCCAAACAACAGCTGCTCTTAAAACAATGTCAGATGCTTCAACAACATCCACAGTTAGCCAAACATACTCAGCTGCAAAACCAACTACAGCTCCAGCCCAAACAACAACAACTAAGGCAGCAACAACAACTATGAAATCAACAACAATTCCCTCAACAACTACAACATCAACAGATACCATGACTACCACCATGGCTGCTTTAACAACTACCAAAACTGTTCCAACAACATCCACAGTTGCTCCAACAGCAACTGTGGATGTTGTTGCAGCAAAGACTCCTTCTGCCACCACAACGTCAACTTCTGCACCATTAGCAACACCTTCCCAAACTAAAGCAGCTACAGCAATAAGAACCACAACTGCCCCAACAAAAACAACTGCTGCATTGATAACCCCGACTGCAATGGCTACAACAGCTTCCCAAACAACACCCAAAACCACAGTCCAAATGACAACTTTAGCTGGTCCACTGACAACCACAGATGCCACAACAACAATTACAATGAAAAATGGAGCTACCTCGTTTACTCGTTTAACATCTACAAAAACTGCTGATGGAGCAACTATTGCTGCCCAAAATACAGTTACCTCTGCAGCACCAACAGCTTCAACAGTTGTAACAAAAGCTAGGATTGATGCTACAACAGTAACTGGTGATGAAACAACAATAACAATCCCAAAGGCAACAAACACAGCCGTCTCAAAAACCACAGATGCTGCAACAACAACAAAAGCAATACAGACAACAACCCCTGATACCCTTTTAAAAACTACAGTGGCAAAAAACACAGGAGGTGCTGGAACAATCATATTCTCATCCACTGCAACCTCACCAACATCTAGACCAAGAACAACCACAGCAGCTAGATCAAGAGCTACAGCAGCTTCAACAGAAATTTTTGCTGGGCAAGGGACAACCACAGGTGCCACTGCAAAAACCACGGATACTCCAACCAGTACCAAAGATGCTGCAACGACAACCATAGCTGCTAAAATTGCAACCACAGCTTCCCAATCAACAACAACTGCTGCGGTTACACCAACCACAAGTGTTGCAACTACTATGAAAGACACAGTTTTTCAAACAACTAATATCATAGCTGTCCAAACATTTAATAAGGTTGTATCAACAAACACCACTGGCGCTGCGACTACCACCACCACAACTGCCCTTAAAGGGACCACAGATACCGGACCAACAGCATCTCTCTTAACATCTACCACAAGGGTTGAGACAACATCTATGGCTGCTGCCAGAGAACCTACAGTTGCTGTAACATTGACTATGGCAACTTCTACAATTCCAACAACCCCTTTGGCAACAACTTCCAACACCGCAAGAACCACAGATTACCAAAAGACTGCCACAAGTCCTGCAACGCTAACAACCTCTAAAGCAACACATACCAAAGCTGCATTAAACACAGATACCCCAACAACATCTAATAACGCTACAAAAACCCCACCAGCAATAACTAACAAAACAGCAAAAACCACAGACTCCCCGAAGACCACAAGTCCTACAACAACAGCCAATGCAGCAACAACTACAACAGAGGTATCAGCCAAAGATACACCCAAAACAACCACAATTGCTGCAAAAATGACAACCACTGTAGCAACACCTACCAAAGCTGCGAAAACCAAAGACTCCAAAACAACCACTAACCCTGCTACCACAGTTACTATTGCAGCAACACCCGCAGATGCCCCAACAACAACATCTGCCTTAACATCTACCACAGGGATTGAGAATACATCTGTGGCTGCTGCCAGAAAACCCACAGTTGCTGTAACATCGACTACGGCTACTTCTGCAATGACAAAAGCAGCAGAAACAAGCAAAGCTGCTGCAACAAACATGGCAATGCCAACTATAATCATTTCTGACATGACAACAACTACAGCAAGAGTTAGTCCTGACATGACAACCAACATAACTGCTACAAAACCAACCACAGCAGGCCTTTTTTCCACAGCTGCCCTTACATTCACAGCAAATATAAAAACATTAACAACTGATCAAAATTCTGTCACACCGACTGGAACAACGACCACTGCTCCTCAGACAGAAACAACAGTCATTAAAACATCGATGGCTGGATCAACATCAATTGGCTCTATAACAACAAAAGTGGCGTCAACATCAACCCCTGTTGTTCAAAAAACAACCATCGCAGCCCCAACAACCACATCTGGATTTGAACCCACAACTGACCCTGAAATAACCACAACAGCCGCAACAGCAACAGCTACTCAGACAAAAACTCTACTCATTCAATCAACAAGCACTTCCACTTCAACTTCACCCACCACAGCAGCTCCCTCAACAATTACAGTGACTGCAACAACAACTGAATCCGTCTCAAAAGCAACCTTGGTTGTAACAACAACCAAAGCTGCCAAAAAAACTACCCCAGCAAATGGGAATTCCACTCAGACAATTTCTACAGCACCTTCAGTAACATCTGATCAAACAATATCTACAGCCACCTCAACAACAACTACATCCACTCTGACATCTGATACCAAAACTACAACCACAGCTGCTAAGACATCTACATCTGGTGCACCAACACCACCATCCATTACATCAACCACAGCAGATGCACAAACATTTAAGACAACTTCAGCCAATGAACTAATGACAGTTGCTGCAGGAAAAACAACCAAACCAACACTGACAACTGATCAAGCTGGAACAATATCAGTTTCCCCAGAAGCAACTTTTCCACTGACAAGTTCAGTTTTCCAAACACCAACCACAGCTGTCACAACTTTCAAAACTGCTGCTGGAACAACCCTTTTCTCATCCACATCAATCTTCGATGCTGCAAACTCACCAACATCTGGACCGAGAACAACCACAGCAGCTAGATCAACAGCTACTCCATCCAGTACCAAAGATGCTGCAACAACAACCACAGCTGCTACAACTTTCAAAACAGCTGCTGGAACAACCACTGAGACCAGAGAATCAACAAAAGCTGGTGCAGGTACAACTACAGTAGCTCCAGTAGGGTCAATCTCAAAGACAAAAGCCCCTGTGGCCTCACATGCAACATCTGCAGATATTTCAGCAGCAACAACAGCAGAGACCACAGATCCAACAACCGTGGTGGGCCGGGAAGGAGCGATCACATTATCTCCAGGAGGGGAAACAGTAGCAGCATCCAAAGTACCAACTGCAGTGACCCCTTCAAAACCCATAGTTACTACACCTACCCCAGTAGTAGGAGCAACCCCAGGTGTAGATGCAACAGTAGCAGTCCCAAAAACTACCACAGTGGCCCCTGGATTACCTAAAACTTCTGCAGGTCCAAGCCCAGTACTCTCAGAGCCAGCTACTACCAACTTCCCACAAACACCCACAATAACAACCACAGTGGCCCCAGCAGCATCCACAAATAATCCAGGAGCACCAACTGAGATGGATGTATTTGTAACGACTGCAGCTGCCTCAGCAACTGTGACAGCTACAGCTGGAGCAACAGCCCCAGTGACACCTGATGATACACCAAAAGACACACCTGGATCAGCAGCAACATTAGAGGTCCCTGGGTCAACCACTGCAGTTGCATTTACAAAAAGAGCAACCACAGTACCAACAACAATGGTGGCCCAAGGCATGACCACAGGAGCCAATATAAATACTCCAGCAGCAACAAGCGTGTCATCTATGGTGCCCTTTGGAGTATTTATGACTACTGCACCTTTCCCTGCAGGAACTACAAAAACTACCACTGTGGAGCAACTTCTAGATGTAACAATAGCATCAGTTACAGAGACAGCTTCACCAGCTGCCAAACCTGGTGTAACAACAATTGCTGAGGTTGCAGGTTCGACCACAACATCCGCAGCTACAGACAGAGTGGTCACAGAATCAACAATCACAACTTCCCAAGGAACAATAATCACAGACACCTCAGGGGCACAAACAGTAGGACAACTTACAGGGATCACTACAGTGGCCTCAGCAACAACAACAGCCGATCCAGTTGCACCTTCATTAGACTCAGGAGCAACCGCAAAGGCCACAAGTGCAACCACAGTAGTATCAACAGTGACATCAATACCAACCAAACCAGTCCCAGAACCATCTACAGTGACCCAAGGTCCAACCAAAACTGCCCTGGCCTTGAGACTGACCACAGCTTTTCCAGCAGGAATCACAACGGTACCAACAACAACTGAACCAACTGTTGATGAAATAGAACCACCACCAGGAACGGCAACCACAGTGTCCCAAAGAGCAACAACAGCAGCCCCGACAGAAGCCAGAGCAACAACCACAGGGTCCACACTGACAGAGAGAGCAACCACTGTTGTTATTAAAGGAACCACAGGGGCAACTACTGTTGACTCACGATCAACAACTGCAGCTCCAGCAACCTTCACAGTGACCCGACAACCAACCACAAAGGCCACAGGAGTGACAGCAGTGGCTCCATCAGAAACTGTGGAAACAACAATGGAAGCACCAGCACCAGTACCAGCAGACACAGCGACAACGGTAACAGAATCTCCACCAGAAGACACAGCGACAACGGTAACAGAATCTCCACCAGAAGAAACAGCGACAACGGTAGCAGAATCTCCACCAGAAGACACAGCGACAACGGTAACAGAATCTCCACCAGCAGACACAGCGACAACGGTAACAGCATCTTCACCAGCGAAAACAGCAGTTACCTGCCTTGCAGTCGTCAATAAAACAAGCCCCCTTTTACTAATAACAGCTGTCAGCCTGTTATTGTGGAGTTAAGAGCTGAGCTGGAACTAAGAGTATAATTCCTCCACCTTCAGGGGCTCTATGTGCTCTACTTTGTTTTTCTCTGTATGCTAAAACGGTGTCTCTTGAAAAAAAGCTAATTCCTAACCCCCATTAAAAATTACAAATCTAGAAATCTACAGTTTTGTCCCTGACAGACAAAGGGTGTGAAACAGAATTTAAGTCTATTTGATAAACATACAAAGACTCTTCACAGGAGCTTTAACTTCAGAGGAAGTCGTAATCTACTGACGATGAACAGAGATGATTGAAAACCTTGAGAACCGTCAGTATTTGATTTTATCTTTGGCCAGCTTTTTCATGACATACCAAGAAATCCAGTTTATAAGAAGTTAAAAATATTTCGATTTTTTGGAAAAGTTTTAAAGTTTTCTGCACACCTTGGTAGAGGCATTTAAAGGTTTTAACAAAACAATCATCAGCTTAAAAAAACTGGGTTTAGGCTGCTCCTCACTTTATCAGAATATGACATTCTGTGTTTCTGCGCTTTCGGAAAACCATCTCTAAAACTGCGTATAGACTGGAAGCATCTCTGTCTGTGTGTTTCATGTCCAGGTTAACAGCCTGAAAGTATGTGAACCACTTAAATCTCATGTCCTCAACAAGAACAATAATCAGTTGGTTAAAATCACCCACCCCGTTATTATCGTCCTCTATGTTTGCTCTGTGTTTGTAAGTTTTGTTTGTTTGATGAGCAGGATACTCCAGAGGCTTAACAACTTCTTCACTTCATTTCACTTCACTTCACTCAGACAAGCTCAAGTGTTGGGCTACCAGCCAAGAAATAAGTGGTTTGTGTTTGGTGAGGCGCCAAAGTCGGAGATAACCGCGCCAAGAATGATGCATACTGTTGTTTTTAATAGTTTTTCTGCAAATCCCGCATTTTACTGAATTAAAAATGATTTTTTTTTTCTTGCTGCTTTTGTGAAATGTTGACATGTATTAGTTTGCTGTAAATCATCTAATAAGTTTAGACATGCTTTTTTTAATGTTAAGTGTCCCAACTGTTTATCATTATGTAAAATATGATAAATAAATAAAGAACTGAATTTAAAAAGTGGGTCATGAAGTTGAATAATTTTTACCTGCATCATCAAATTTAAAGTTTGATATATATATAAAAAAGCATCCTCTCAGTGACTAATATTAAAGCGTTATTTTTGTTTGAATATTCTTAAAAACCTCTAAAATAGCTGTGAACAGTTTTACTTCTTTTCAGAGTAACAGACTTAACGCTGTCTGACTCAATTATCATATGTGTGAAGAACAACCAAGCTGAGCCCAGTGCATGCTAGGATAGATTTCTTCAGACCAAACCCTAAACAGGACTAACTGGTTACAAATAATAGATAAATGCTCTGTAAACACTGTCTGCTATTCAGTCCTTTATAATTCCCATTAGGTGTGACCAACAGACAGTTATGAGTCAACAGACCTGAACTAAAAACCTGCTTTGATTCTCAGTCGCAAAAATAAAAAACAAGCGAGAGAAATCCGACGTCAATCAGACACCGGGGAAACAGATTTGTCGCCATTCGGAAAATCGAAGGAGTCTCTTTACCAAAACATATGACACATGAGATCAGCTATAGCAGCAGAGCGCTGACGTTCGTCTGTATCATTCACTGAGCAACAACCTGAATCATCATCAACACAAGCTGCTGCCATGGCAACCATCGACAGTAAGATGGACTTAGCATCTAGATCAAAAGGGGGCAGAGTTCAAATGAGAATTTCTGGAAGATAATCTCTAGATTATTTTTTTGAAGATGTAAACATCTAGATTCACTTGAAGTAGTTTCGTTTAGTTTATTTTTAAACTTTTTAGTCCCCATGCCACGTCGTTTACTCCTTTCTCCACTCTTTATTTATTAATGTAAAAACAAAAATATCACTGTTACTTGGCCTCCATCACCCGCCGCTGTCAGGAGTGTTTCCACTGTCTCCACCATCATTTCTCTGGACTTACATGAGTGTACACAAGGCTGTTTCTAAACATAGCATATAAAAAGGCAAACACCAATTTGTGCACAATTCCTATAATTGCGAGCCAACTTGTACCCATCATCGACATTATTAGGCTTAAAGGAACTGCACCCACTGCACCTGCTCCCTGCCCAGCATAATGAGCCTCAGGTGGGGTATTAAGTCTATTAAAGGTGGCTGGACTTTTACAAGAGGTTCTCAACCCAGAGCCTAAAGAAAGATAAGCTAAACAAGCATATTTGAAGCTACAATACTCTTTGACTATACTATTACAATACTAAAACAGTCCTTAGCCTGCTGTCACCACAGGTATAAAAAGACCAGCTGAAATCTGAGAGCATCACAACTCATCAGCACTGACAACGACTCTTATAACTCTATAACTCTTATGATTCATCAGAGAGAGAGAGAGCAGCAGTCCGAGGTAGGTCACCTACTCTCTTCCAGCTGCCGTTTGTTTGTAGCGAGACCTTGGGCCAGTCCATTACAGACTACAGCGGGGTGACACAGCTCAAGGAAGAACATTTATGATCATTTCTTTATCATGTCCTTGAAGTAATAATCACCATATTAATGATTTTCACTGCAGACACTGTAGTTCTTCTGTCTTAGCGTCTCCATCTGATTGTATTTCCATGAAGAAAAGATAATAAATGTTCTTCCTTGAGCTGCGTCACCCCGCTGTAGTCTGTAATGGACTGGCCTGCAGTCCCACTACAAACAAGCGGCTGCTGGAAGAGAGTGGGTGAATTGTGTTTAGTCTCTTTGTTAAAGAAATTAGCCAAAGTTAAAAAAGATGTTGCTGGGACAAACTGATTAATTCAGGTGTGTCTGAGTAGTCGCATTGATCAGTCACACCTGGATTAATCCGTCTGCATTCCCACTAACTATCAGTGCATAGAGTCCCTTCTCTTTTTTCTTTCTTTTCTACAGAAATTTTGCACCTCCTTTTTTTCTTTGCACGACTGCAGCCACTTTGGCAGCGCTTTGAAACTGAAACTAAATGACTCTCTGTACCTGATCCAGTCTCCACATCAAACCCACCCTGAGGTCTCTGATAATCAGGCTTAAAATCTAATTTACAGGATTTTGTCTCCTTTTCTGTCCTGATTTGATGATTTTGTAAAAGCAGTCCTCCTTACGCTCTGACCACCTTTTACCTCACTGCTCTTCATACAGCACATCTACAGAAATTTAGGAGCCCTTCAGCTAAAAATGGTTTCATCCTGGAGACCGGCCAAGTCCAAGTGTTGATCTGTTTCTGATAAAAGAGCGGCACTCCTCGGTTAATCTCCCCAGAGATTGAAGAGCTCTGCTTTTAAGGCTCATTCACTGTATGCAAATATTTATTGACACAAAAAGAGACAATAGAAAAGCCTCTGGCAGCAGTCCCGGCCTGGATCAGATAATCAATGTGAGAGGACAGTGAGATGAGGAGTTCAGGGTGCCTGGGAGAAATTAACGTCCTCCTGGATTACATATTACTGATGGGGGCGAAGCGTGGTGTCTTTCAGATGTGACAGTTTGTAGACGCCAGAGAGTGCGCTCTTACCGACTCAGCAGGTTTGGCTTTTTCAAAATTACACAAAGCTTTCACACAAAAGCTGAAAATATAGTTCAGCGGGTCAGAGGATGGAGAGTTTCAGAGTCAGCAGGTCCGGCAGGAGCGCTGAGAGTGATTAGAAAACACACAGAGGAGAGGGGAGCTGAGGTGAACGGAGACTCTCGAGGTTTGCTGTAGTCTCAGGGATGATGGTGTGAGAGTCAAAATCAACCTGCTGCACTCACAGAGAAGAGAGAGAGGGAGAGAGAGAGAGAGAGAGAGAGAAGTGTGTTGATATAAAAACTGAATCAGTGCACCATCTCGAACAGAAAATAAACGTTTCAGCCTTTTTCTGTTTCGCTGTCTGCTTTCCTGCAGGTTTTAGTTCTTGGTCCTGAAGGCCTGAGAGAGACGCTTCTACCAAAACTACAAGATTTTAAAGTATCAACATCTGTAAAAAACCTGGGTGTGATTTTCAACTCTGAGCTCAGTTTTAGTCCACACATCAAAAACAGCAAAGGTCGGTTTTTACCACCTTAAGAGTATCACCAGAGTCCGCCTGTTTCTCTCCCAGACCAGCAGGAGGTGCTGTTGCTTTTATCTCCTCTCGTTTAGATTGTTGTAATGCCCTGCTCAAGAAGAACTTCCCCCGTCCGTTTCAGGATTGATTTTCAGGTTCTTCTTTTATTAGTTTTTGAACATATTAACGGTCTCTGCCTCTCTTATTTATCTGATCAGTTTCTATGGTCCAGGCTTAACCAGGCTTTTCTCTGAACGCCTTTTTATATTTCTCTTATTGCAAATGTTAATTTTAACTGAAGAGCTATTACTTGTCTGTTCATTTTATATTATCTTCTTGTTTTAGTCCATCAGGTTTTATTCTTTCTTTTCATCATTTTTATCTTTTATCTCCAGTGTTTCCTGAAGGTCGCTCGTTCCTTACGTAATGTCTCGGTGTCAGGCCATGTCTCTTTGACAATATATCTTAAATTCTCACTTTGTGTGCACTTGTGTGTGTGTGGGTAAGTGAGGGTGGGTGTGTGTCTGTCTGCGTGTGGATGTTGGGTGGGAGGTTTGGGTTTAATTGTTGTTTTTCGCCTCTATGAGGAACTTTGAACGACATTTTTTTGCCTGAAAAGTGCCATAGAAATAAAATTGAATGTGTTGTAATTTGGTTTTGCTGCCACTAGATGGCACAAAAATGTCTCCATGTGAGGTCAGGAGGTCAAGGTCAATCAGGGGGAGGTTTTAACGTCTTCACAGGGTCAAAAGAGGACGCCTAGACTCTTGAATTCGACCTCCTGAAGTTCATGGTTGTTAATAATCGTCATCACGGAGTGTGTTTCTCATATTTTACTGCTCAGACTTCGGGTGGAGTCGTCTCTCCTGTCTGTGTCATGAAGTCTAATTGTTGATCGCCCGTCAGCACTCCCTCTCCCTGTTTTCCTCTCCACCTTCTCCTGCACAGGTTCGCCTGAACTGCAGTCCTCTGCTGCCCTCTGCTGTTGAAAGCAGTGCTTTCGAACCACTGCACACCTGATGAGTCAGAAGGAGCCACACGGCTTCAGCATCAGTTTCATGTTCTGAGCAGCAGAGGGCAGCATTACCCAGAGTTCCCTGCAGCTCCGACCCTCAGTCGAGCTGCATGCAGGCTGATGTCTCCAGCTTCGCTCTCACATTTGTGTGTTTTATCAACGTCAGGCTGAAATATTCAGGACAGCAGTTCTGAATGGATGACTCACTCTGAGGACAAGTTTGACGCAGGTGTTGTTTATCTTGATTGATTCACTCGGCGTTTTCTTCAGTCTGCTCTGCGGGTGTTTGAATATGACTGAGAGAGAATAAAAAGAAAAATATCAAACAGGACAAAACAAGAAAGCAGATGTTGTGAGATGTTGGAGCTGATTGTCAGTGCTCGACATCGACATGAGGCGACACTCGGCGGGCGTCTGGAGTCTGTCACATGATGAATTGTGACCCTGAGAGGTGTCAGTCACCGACAGAGCGTCCATCAACCATCTCTCTCTGCAGACGAAACAGACGACTGGAAACAGGAAGAAGTGATGAGGCCCTGAGTCATGCGATCCTCGCGCTGCGGAGCTAACGTCATGAATGAGTGTGACGGGGACATCACAGGCAGCAGAGTCCAAAGTGACTGGTTCTGTTTCTGGATCATGGTCCGGAGCTCATGTGGTGATTTCCACTACAGAGTCCTGTCTGTTTTTTATGCAGCGCTCCATCCAGTCCTGGTTTTGGTCCGTGTCCCTTTGGTACAGAGTTTTTTTAATGATAGTCATGTGACTAAGCTGTTAAAAATGAAGCTCACTTTGCACAAAAACTGGCATTAAAAGGGTAATACATCAATTTTTTATTCATCACTTTTTTAATGGTTAGGGTTAAAGTTGTTTAAGAGATTTGAGTCAAAAAAAGTATGAAAAAATGTTTAAATATGATTATTTTATGAACTCTTATCTGCATGTCCATTTTAGGGACAAAGTTGGCTGGATGGAGCTTTAAATACGAAAAATTGGCACCACAAAAAGGATTTAAATTCACCAAAATCAGTTTTACCTCTCATCACTGACATGGCCCAGATTCTATCAAAAAAAAATCATCTACGTCATTTTATACGGGAAATATGGGGATTTTTTTCTTTTTACCATTAAAAATAGCAGTGACATGTTGCACAAAAACTGGCATTAAAAGGGAGTAACATCGAATTTTGTATTTATCAATTATTTTTAATGGTCACGGCTGAAGTTGTTTAAGAGATTTGAATCGAAAAAATGTTTAAAAATGATTCTTCCTTGAGCTGCGGCACCCCGCTGTAGTCTGTAATGGACTGGCCTGAGGTCTCAAGACAAACAAGCGGCTGCTGGAAGAGAGTAGGTGAGTTGTGTTTAGTCTCTTTGCTAAAGAAATTAGTCACAGCTAAAAAGATGTTTGGTGTCTAGTACTATGGCTGTGACCCTATATGTCCTGTTGATGAAGTTAGGTGCTGTTCTGAGCATTATTTGTGGCTATAGAGTGGCGTTTTGGTTGAGGGCGTGGCTCTCTGTATTACTATCCTGCGGTCGTTACTAAAGTTGGTAAAACTAGAGAAGCAAGCGGTCGGCAACATTCATCTCTGGAGGGGGTGTCTAACTCGGTGTTACAGTATTTTTGACCCCAAATTAATTTGACGTGGAATTATCTGCGTTCCTACTGACGGTTCCTCCAAAGGTTCCAGTTCCTGCAGTCGAAAAGCTCCTTTAAAAAAACCTGATCGGAGTCCCACACGAGCTCAAAGATCTGATATGGGTCACCTCTGCCTGCTGTGTGAATGTGGTCCATGTTCAGTACAGTATATAGACGATGACGGAGTCTATTCCTGGATCATAGTGTCACAGGGAGGAGGAGGCAGAGGCAGCCAAGTTGGCGGCTCTTCCAGAAGCTTTTAGAGGATTAAGAACAAAATGGTAAATCCTCGTTTCAGCGTTTGTACATTAGAGGCTGTTCAGTGTCAGAGCTGCGCCGCCTCCTCCATCACACACAGACACACAAACAGACACACACACACACACACGCAGACAGACACGCTGTTAACACCTTTAATTTGTTGATCTTCATCACCTGTTGACTCGAACACAAACCTCATCCCACGGCGTGTTTCCTCCTCTGAA